AATATAGTCAAGAGGTGTTAAATCGCACGATCTCGGGGGCCAACTGACATCTGAATTTCGTGAAATTATGCGGTCTTGAAATTTCGTGTGCAATAAGGCGATTGTTTGGCGAGATGTGTGGCCACAAAAAGTCTGTTAACATGCCGCAATAACGTTCCCCGTTGACGGTAATGGCCTTTTCTTCCGCATCTTCAAAGAAGAATGGTCCAACGATGCCACCAGCCCATAATCCGCACCAAACAGTCACTTTTTCAGGTTGGAGAGGTTGTTCATGGTATTGGTGTGGATTTTCAGCCCCCCAGAATCTACAATTTTGCTTATTTACCTACCCATTGAGGTGAAAATGAGCCTCATCAGAAAAGAGCACTTTGGCTGAAAATCCATCTTCTCTTTCCAGCTTGAAATTAACAAAAACACGCCAGTTTTTTATATATAATATGGCTCCTGTATCATAAAAAATTAAAGTTCAGTCATTTCGCCAGTCTTGTTGTTGGCTTTCTTCTAGCCGTTAATTTCAAAAGGACGGAACCGATTTTGATGAAATTGATACGTTGTCTTCCTTTATTATAGGGTAAATAACATTTGGTACACTAGGGTAATTTAGGATGCTAATATCAAAATCAGACATCAAAAAAACTTAAACTGCCAGGAAGTCCTATTTTGAGTGGAAAAAAGGATTTTTTTGGTGTTTCACGTCTGTCTTATAAAACATCTTTAACTTTGAAGCTATTCAACCCATAATGTCCATTTTCGTATGCCTCGATATATTTATGGGAACACAGGCGTATCCAGGGAAAAGTTTTTGAGTGATTCAGGATTCATGGTCAGAAAGATGTCAAATTGAAAATTGGACAGGGAGGTTGTCTGCATCAGTGCTTCTAAGAGCGAATGCCCCTTGTAGCAATTGAAGGACAAGGGTTCAGACACACATTAGTGATAGACAGGGCACTTTGTATAGTGCATAGCTGTTATGCTTTCGTTGTCCGAGCCATCCTATGCTGAAGAGTAGCAAAAAGCACGAAACAGCTGTCCATGGTTGCCTGTCTTTGGTCGGACAAACAAAACCCTAGAGCATTGATTCCCAAAGTGGTCTATATCGACCCCTAGGGGTCTATGACAACCTGCAAGGGGTCTACGTCAGCGAAAAAAAATTTGGGGGTCCATGAAATGAATATGGGGGTCCACGATATTGGATCTCAACACATACACTGATAGTACGTTAATTTTGCCAGCCGTTGAAGAGGTTTTAAAAACTGTTTTACACGAACCTGCATCTGATATCATTAAAAGAATTCCCTTAAGCAACAATACTGTTGAAAGACGTATTGATAAAATGAGTTCTGATATTGAAAGCTTCTTATGTAATTATTTGCAAACGACCCATTTCTCTATACAACTGGACGAGTCAACTTTACCTGATAATGCAGCATTATTATTGGCATATGTTCGTTTTATTATGAATCAAGAAATCTACGAAGAACTGCTCTCCGCAAGAACTTTGATAACCGACATTAAAGGTGAATCAATATTTCATGTTTTGAAGGATTACTTCATTGAAAAAGCAATTCCTTTATCAAATATAATATCAGTTGCTACAGATGGAGCACCTGCCATGGTTGGACGTTATCGTGGATTTATAAGCCATTTAAAACAAAATGTGTCAGGGGTGTTAGCAATACATTGCGTCATCCATCGACAACATTTAGTTGCTAAAAATTTGAGTTGTTTGAATCACTTCATTTAGTCATTGATGCAGTAAACCGAATCCGAAGCAACGCGTTGAATACGCGGTTATTTGCGCAGTTGTGTGAAGAAAATGACGAACACTTTCATCAATTACTCCTTCAGACTGAAGTACGCTGGCTGTCGAAAGGCTTATGTTTGACAAGATTTTTTGCACTTTTTGAGACTATTTTAGAATTTCTGGATACTAAAGATAAAATTTTAAAAGAAAATTTAACAGATTTGTTTACAAAATTTAATATGGTTAATTTGCAATTACAAGGCGACAGTTTAAATTTGATTAAAACAAAGTCCATCTTATCAACGTTTCTTGACAGAGTTAAACTAATGAAGCAAAATATTGGATGGGGCGAATTTTCTCAGTTCCCCAATTTGTCACAAACAAGGTGCCAGGAAGACGACGTTTCAACTTACGTTCAACATTTAAATGCCCTCTATTCAGATTTTGAATCTAGGTTTGGGGATATTTTGACTATGGTAATACCATCGTGGATAATTATTCCATATGGTGACATAGAAGAAACGAATGTCATAATACAAGAGGAACTGACTGAACTGAGTACAAACGAAGAACTTAAGGTTCAGTTTAAAAACGGATATCAGTAATTCTGGCTGCAAAACAACATACCCGTTACTTATCCCGTATTATGGAATATAGCGAGGAAATTTTTAATTTCCTTTCCATCGTCATACCTAGTGGAAAGGGGGTTGTTACCAATCTCCTATCGAAAAAAAGAAACAGACTGGACATCATTAGCCGAGGAGATTTAAGATTAACCCTTACAAAATTAACGCCAAATGTTGATAATTTATTATTAAAGCATCAGGTACATCCTTCTCACTAAAAATATTGACTTATTGCTTATGTTATTTTATTTTTAGTTTATTTTATGTTTATTGGTGTCTGACCAATAAATGCCCGCATTGGGAATAAGTGCCCGCATTGATTTTTTTAAAGAAATAGAAAATATTTTTTTTTCAATTATTCTGAAAATTCAAGGATAGGTACACACTAAAATTCGTTCATTTTTTGCCTATTTTTAGATAACTTAAACGTATAAGTAGCGGAATTTAATCAAACTAACAGTGAAATTATTTTAGAACATACGTTTATGTTATAATTAATAAACGAACTCGCTTATTGTACTATTTTAAGTAAAAAACTTTTTTTTTATTATTTTTCACTTTTTTTTATTTTATCCCTCTTATTTTTTTTCAATGCGGGCACTTATTCCCAATGCGGGCACTTATTGGACAGACACCTGTTTATTTAATGTTACGTGTATTTTACATAACAGCTACAAAATTTTATTTTGAGTAGTTTTAATTTAAATTCAATTAATAACTGTATAAATTAACATGTGTTTTTACTTTAAGTTTCTAACACTAAACTTCACTACAGTTAGAAATTTACAGGAAATCAATATCAGGTAAGTAGGGGGTCTACCCAACACGGAAAAACATGGCAAGGGGTCTACGACACAAAAAAGTTTGGGGAACTCTGCTCCAGAGTATTTATTTAATATTAGTGGTCAATCTCGATTTGTCCAGTGATGGGGGACTGGATCCGCCCTTGGGCAAGGGGCTTACATTTCACTAACGGTATTGCATGCTGTATTATATGGGAACAATATATTAGACCCTGGGATTCTGGGAAGACTTGAGTCCCAAAGCCAGTTACATAGAACATATCATCATCAGCAAGAAATTCTATTGTTCCGGGAAGCCCTATTTTGAATGCAGAAACTTTGTGCATCTCGTGTTTCCACACCCGAGGTATCCAAGAAACGGATCTTTGTAGGTCGAGATTGTACATGATTTCTGTTAGTTTTTGCAATAGCCCTTACCTTTTGATTCTTGGTGCAAGCTCATTTCTGAAAATCGATGCAAATGAAAAAGTTTCAGCTCGCCCCTGACTTTCATTTTTATATGCTGTTGAACGCTTTGATTTATTTTTGGTTGTAGTAAATTTAACCTAGCACTTCTTTACGGACATATTAACGACATCCTGCCCTGCAACCAGTACCAAATTCGTCAGAGTTTGGCGATAAAGCACTTATTATCAGGCTATACAAGCTATATTCAATGTCTTTAAGGTACTAAAAAGTTTGAGCGATCCTGTACGTACGAACTTGTATGGTATTTGAACATCGTACGTCTCATATGGTGGAGCAAGTAGGTAATGTGAGCCGAAAAGGATCAAGTTTAAAAACGTTTTAAGGTCGAAAACACCTGATTAAAAGAAAAAACGCCGAGACACGTCCAAAGATTTGTCAAGGGGAACAACTTTTTAACCAAAACCTACTTCTCACCCTTTCACGCTCTTCCCCCAGGGTCATTCCCTTAAAAATTTTAAATGAGAAGTGGTATCAGGTAATAGCTTGTTTGAGAGGTCTTTCGAAGTCTTGACGTTCGATTTTTTTAAATTTATTTATCTTAATTTGTTCAGATAAAAAACAAAAACACACGAAAATGTGACTTTTTATTCCAATAAGTGTTCAAACTGTTGCCCGATAGGGTTTTCCAAATCTACAACTCGTTTATAATTTAAAACGGAAACTACCAACATAAACAGCAATTCGGAAGGTTAGACTTGGCAACAACTAAATAACAACCCGAATTTTCTCCACATTCTTTGTTAGATCTCTGACTTGACGCCATTAGACTTTTTTCTATGGGGCAATTTGAAATCTATTGTGTTTACTTCCCAACCTGAAAGTTTGGACGAACTTCGTCAACGCATCATCGAAAGCTGCATGATATCCGACATGTTTTTGAAAATGTCCGACAGGAACTTGAACATCCCCTATATCATTGTTTGTAACAAGCTATTACTCAATACCCCTTGTCATTTAAAATTTTTAAGTGGATGACCCTGGGGTGCAGAGGGTGAAAGGAGGTGAAGCAGTTTTCGGTTAAAGAGTTGTCCCTTGACAAATCTTTTGACGTGTAACGTGTTTTCTTTTAGTTACTGGTTTTAGATAAGTCCGTATGTTATCAGAACCGCGCTCCACATGACAAATCATCGTCCAGTCTCCTATAACGAAACAGGTAGAAACGTGAGCCGGAAATTATCATATTTGAAAATGTTTAAAACTCCAAAAACGGATCTATTCAAACATTTTAAAGGTGATTCACATCTAAAACGAACTGATCATTCCACAAGGAAGTGCGTTTGCAAAATAGCTGAACAAAGCATATTAAAAAATTCTGAACGACCCTGTATTAGCGAATCCACCAAAATCCCGAGAACGATTCTCCTAAAAAAAACGGATCTTACACCGCAACCCAATTTGTATGACTTATCAGAACCATATCACCAAACCAAACAACATTATCTCAAACGTTCTCCGTACGAAAAATTGTCGCCCAGTCTCATATGGTGAAGCAGGTAGAAAGTGTCGGCTGAAAACAAACGTTTAAAGGTCCAAAAACGCATCTATTAAATATCTTGAAGGTGCATCACATCTAAAACTAGCTGAGCATCCCACGAGGAAGTGCGTTGAGAAATAAAAATAGAAACTTCGGTGCGGTGTGTGTGTCGATAGAACAGCGACTAGTTTACGCTGTTACGGTACTACGGAAAAACAGAGAGGAATAGTACCCGCCCAAGTCAGTGATCGAATGGTGCATAGCGAATAAACACGTGCATCGTGCCAGTGCATTAGAACCGTTTTCGTTTTGGCTGCAGCGTTTTTTGTTGGAAGGTTTTCAAGGTAAGGATAGAGGTTGTTTACACATAGTATCTATTTGAACGAATATGCAATGTTCTCGTTTGGATAACAGCTCTTATGGCTCCGAGTTGCGCAGTGCAGGAGCACAGTGGAAGATGTGTATACAGGGTGATGCAACTACTGTAAAGTAAACAAAATGGATTGGAATATACAGGGTGTTAAAGAAGCATCTGTTCAATCTTACTTGGGTGATTCTTAAAAGGAAAGCTCATACAAACAGTAGTCCGGTAAAGCTTTGATTTCGATATTTACTAACTCAAATCTTTGTGATTCTTTTTTTTCTCGAAACAATTGTATTAACTCTGCAGCCGATTTTGTTGAAATTTAGCAGCTTTAGCAAGAATATAACTAAACCAACGAAGGAAGTGTTTTATTAATACCACAAATTCATGGCCATCCAGATCGCCTGATTTGAATTCGTGAAAATTTTCCCTTTGGCAGGTTTGTATTTCATTGGCGCGTATTTCTTATTCAATTCAGTCGGGGTGTTCTTTAATGGTATGTCAATAGTCCAGGATATCGTCGGTGAAACCTACTTCAATACTGCATAAAAAACGATGGTTAAAACGGTAGTAGTCGTGTTTGAGGAGAACATTTTCTTTATCATTAAATACCTCTTCCACCGGCTCAGTTGTTGCTCATGTGATCTCACGAGACGAAGACAATCACTATCAAGAACCTATATTTTTTTGTAGTTATGAGGTTTGAGACACTGTTGGTTACGCTATATTACAGTATCTCTGACAATATCATTCATCAAACGATTTTATGACGAAATGTTTATATGTATATAAACATATTTCCACAATGGCTCAAATTTTTAGCTACAAGGTATTGAATTTTTAAAGAAATACGTTTTTATTGGATATCTTTGGATATCATTTTTATCTTTGTCTTGCCATAAAAGGATATAAATGCCATATTTTATTGTAAAAAGCTATCATATTACAGAATCAGACGAATATATGCATAAGTGTGATATTTTTTAATAAGAAATTGGTACGATATTGATATTTTTCAGCTTGCTCACTTGCAGATAAAAATTCTATTTTTGTATTATCTCTTCAGATGCACCGTTTTTAATTAAAACAACATAAAGATATCACAATACATATTTGTAGGAACGCCACTGGTGAATAAATTTCCATACTAAAATATGTCGTTTTACATCCTCTTATCGTATGGCAAAATATTCAAATAAAAATAAATAAAATGATTTTTTTCTGAGAAAAAATCAACTCCCCGTAACAAGATAATAGGAAATTGAGTTTATGCTTCTTGATAAAATTACCTGAGAATTATATCCTAAGGAATACCCTGTATAAACTGTTCTTAGAATCACCCAATGCCCCCCATAAAGTGTTTATTATTAACACCCTGTACGTATATACACGTAAGGCGGGAGCGGGGTATAAGTTTTGTTATCGTTTATATCAAAAAAGTGTTGTTTTGGCTTTTTGTTATCCAAATTGAAACACCTTTGGGCCACCATAAGTTGAGGTTTTTTGTAAGGATGATTCGACTGTTCCAGGTAGAAGGAGTTTGTTCACCTACTGAATCTAAGCAAATATGCGAATCTTCTTGTTTCTTGTTTTGATGTCTCAGTTGGTTCTGAGTTGCGCAGTGCAGGTGAATAGTGTATACAAGGTGGCGCAAGTGTTATTAGTGCAGTTCGGATTAGATGAATTAGGCCCGTATCGTCAGTCGTCCCTACAATTGTAGGGCGCGTTTATGGCCTCCTTGATTGTAATACTCCTTTCTCTCCTTCAAAAATTTCTAGATTACACTTGTCCCGTGTCAGCGTCAGCGCTCTCCTATTTTGAAGATATGTTTTCTTTTTAAATTGGAAATTTCATGCTGATAAAACATGATATAACTCAAAAGCAAGCACAATTTGATGCAAATAGATGTTTGTGACATAACCTCAAAATAGAGCTCTGACACGGACAAGTAGAAAACTATGACAATCAAGGAGGCCATAAAGGCACCCTACAATTGTAGGGACGCTTGACGATACGGGCCTTAGATATTTATCGCTTAATTATTAGGATTTAGTTTTTGTGGGAAGGTATTCAGAATACGAAGTTGCTTAGTTACGAAATATTTATATTGTTGTTGTTATATCTGTGTAAAAGTTGTGATGCACACGGGGTTATGTACTTATTATATAGAATGGAAGAGGTGTAGATACATAAATCTCCATTTTGTATCAGTAATCTATTCCCTTGGAATTTTCCGTAAACCAATTAGAATTTTTAGAATTGAATTGAAACGACTTTTTTTGCATCACTACCTCCAGCTTTTCCAGTGAAATATTCAATATACAAGCTATAAGATTGTCGCCATCTTCTAGATTTTTTTATGGGTATCAGACAACTTCGGCGTCTTCAATATACATATAATTTGGTGCAAAATATGAATTTAAAATCCCATTTGTTTAGGGCATCTGGAACGTGATGTACCCCGTAGATTCGGACCTGTGCACAAAAATTTTGATAAAGAGCTTAGAATAAACTCTTGTGCAACGACTTCGCTGAGAGTGTAAATTACGATTTGTCGATATTTTAAATTTGCATTTGAATATGGAAACAGTTTAAAGAATCTAAAACAGCGCTTTCACCAGTGACGAAAACGTTCACTATTCTGATATGGTTAGGCATGTCTTAAGCATTTTAGTATCTCCTATCAGGAAAACTTACAGCTATGTGTTATAAGGAGCGGTGATGTTACGCGCAATTTTTTCAAGGATATTTATCACACTCGCTATGTATAGTGCATGTATACTTATATATTTTATAGACGATTCTATTGATCGCTTGTTAATATTGGTGACTCATGTGATACTTAGTGAAGTCATACGAAATATTTAAATAATTTAATGACATAACTCTGAAATATTGGCAATGCTTTGATATTGCATAAATCATTACTGGCATCACCAGATTGGTTAGATTTTTTATTGTTGTTCAGGATTCGCCAGAGTTGACAGTCGGGTTGTTGTCAAAACTTTTATTTTTTATTTAGCAGTTCAGTTTTCAGTGTAATGGATCAAGGTTTAATTTTATGTACCTGTTTTGATTGCGGTACATCAAAGTCGGCATAACAGAATGAATGTTTCTTGTACATATTTGATAAAAATAGGTTTAATGGAAAAATTACGCAAATCTTTTCCAGCAGTAAAAGTGAGTAAAACGTAAATATGTACAATCTGAATGACACATTTTCTTGTCAGAGGTTAATGTTTATTCCTAAAAACATTACTGCTGTTTACATATATAAAATATCTAAAGCATAAAGGAATTTACTAATCACGCTACTTGAACATGGACGTTTAATTAACTTATTTCCCGTGATAAGGTTGTTTGTTCATAGACAAATTATATTATCATCAAAATTATAGATATTTTCAATGATTACCTGAAAAAGAATGTCATCATAATTATTTGCTACCTACTTGTGATCTCTTTTGTCATGAAATCGTGTTTTATTCCAATGTGATAATAAAGTAACTTCACGAAGTACGTGTAACCCTTTTTGTATCCAGAAAGCATATACGTATACTTCTTAAATGTTGTGATTTTATTCTTATAATTCATCCCCCGCCAATTGCCGAGGAAGTATTGTAATGCTAAGTCGAATATTTTTTTTTGGACATGTCATTCATTTCCGTCGATCTGTCTCTCTGAGATCTGTCTCTCTGACATCTGTCCGTTAATATTTGGCCCCTGTACAACTTGGAGGTATTGCCCCAGATTTTGTTCGAATTTTGAAATATGACAAAAACTTCACTTATTGACATTTTTTAATTGTGTGCTTACTTTAGGGCCTAGTCAAAAAATAATAAGAAGTCTGTAAATTTACAAATTGCAGAGATGATTAGAATTCATTGCACGAGAAGTACTAGGTAAATTTACTTGATTCCATCTTATTTTCTTGTTGTTTTCTCGACGATGTGTCAAGGTTATTTTTTGTGAAGAAAAAGAAGCTGGTTCAATATCTTCTCTGAATATTAATTCATTTGTCCTCAGTAGGCAAGAGTTTCTCAAAATTATCGTGACCAGATACGTCGAGATGGCTGCCAGGGTTGGGACAAATTACAAATCCTATTTATTTCATTTAGAAAATAACTTTCTTTCTTACGAAACGAGTCTTATGATGTTTCCACCGCCTATTCGACAATTCTTTATAATCCACTCACTGGTTCGGAAGGTTTTATTAACATTTTCAATTCTCGAATTACGTTTTACACTAACTTTGATGTTTATTGAATTTTATGTGCATCAGTCTTCTCTTTATTTTCAGATGGGCAACATAGTTTACTCAATAATCTGGCTGTTGATCCTGTTCTTCATATCATTCTTTGTAGCTGGATTTTGCGCAGGATTCTACATAATCGTTCATCCGCTGAGCGTTTGTTTACCGCCGTTAACGGTAAGTATCGTGACCTCTTGTTTGCAAATTTCTTTTTTCGTTTATATTCTATGCAAATATCCTGCAAGTGCTGGCCGTCACCTAGATTCAAAAATAGCGTCACCTCTGTTTGTTGTAAGAACATATTTACAACAGGGGTGTAGACTCAGAATTTAATGGGGAGGGATAAAAATTTCAAATCCAGCTAGTTTTTTATCATTTTCGCCCAAGAAGTAGCTTCAAAGCCGGCTAGATTTTGTCATTATCATTTCGCTACCTTTTGAACAAAAAAAAACTAATTAAAATGAATCCGGCAAGAATGTGCTCGTATTTTTCCATATTCCTCTGAGGTTGTTCTGGATAGCCCCACAGAGAATAATCCAGAGGATCTAAGGTGACGAAGTGAAATTGATGATCTCAGCGCCATCTATGAACCATAAACAGAACCAAATGCTCTACGTCTCTTTAAGGTATATTTCTAAACTCATGTTTGTGTCTCTATCTCATAGATGGCGCTAGGGTCTTTCCGACCCCATGTCTTCGCCGAGATACAGTATCTTTTCAGGAAGAATGCGTTAATCAGTGACGCCATTTTTCGGTTGAATGAAAGAGCGGATCTTTCTATGTGGTAGTAAGCTCCGAGTTCTGCCGTTTGCCAGGAAAGCAGCAGGAATTCGTTCTTTGTATTTTTTTTGTGAATTTAACTTGGTAATAAAAGAATTTAACATTATGTATCTCAGTAACAGATGAGCCTGGTATATTTGAAATAGTTGGACAGTCTATGACGACGATATGCATTTTAGGTGGTTTTTCAACATTAGGAAGTTTCAAATCTAATTTTTGCAAATAAAAAGCGTTATTTGGTGAAAAACTGTAACGCCATTTATAATTTTTATTTTTAATATGATTTTTGAGGCATCCAAAACATCAAAAACCTTGCTCGACTTAAGTGCGAGGAAGCTTCAGGTAATCTAATCAGATCAACTAGGACAAAAAAGATGGAAAAGCTTGTAAGCTCATTCACGTTTCTTCTGAAAGAGTCACTAACTTCCTCACGCTGAAATTTTTTGAAATTGTAAAAAATGTGTATTTTTCTTTCAGTCGTTAGCGGAGTTATTGCTTCAAGGCGTTCAATTCCCCCACTACTGTGCCGACAAGATGATGAGTGGCGCTCCTTTGGGATAACACAGACTGACTAATTTTAGCTTACTTGTACTATCACAGAAGAAAAATGTAGCTCTCGTGACCTGTTATCGAAATATATCTCAAAGTTTTAGGTATTTTGAAGTACATCTGAACAATAATTTATAGGCCATAGCATTTTTTCTGGATGTTCATCACTTATTTTTAATTGTTACAGGATAAATATAAGGTTCAATGACCAGTTAAGCTTTGTTCTGTCATGCTATTATTATACTTATACTATAATCTGTTATAGACGCCTCTTATATAGATAAGGTATTCGGTTTTAAATATTTCGAACTCTTCAGATAGTCTTGAGCACTGAATAAATTTCAAATTATTTTTGCCGATTTGTCAAGTCACTCTGATAAGAATTTATCGAGGTGATAAGTATAGTGCATTTTATTTATTACTTCGGCAGATATATTTTATTTCGTCTTATCTACGTTCAATTGTTATGGCGATTTTTCTTCTGTGCTATTATTGATAACTTATTATCGTACATTAAACCATGCTGACTAAAAGATTGGCTGTAGAGACCAATATTATTATCACATCTATAAAAAGCAGATTGATAGAAAGTCATCGCATATTTCCGAAGTGTTAACTGCTGATGATATTAACCTTCAGTCGGCTATGGTTCCATAAACATGTGTTCAAATAATTTCTAATTTCTACAGACTAACATTTTAATGTATTTTAACAAACATTTACAATATTTCTGTTACACACGTTGCCTGCATTTTATCACTTTTATGTTAATTGAAAATATATACTCGTTTGTAGAAACTTTCTTTTTTATTTTTGTTAACAATGTTGCAATCCTTAATCAATGTTTCCTTCAGTAGGATGTACCTACAACACGAGCAGCTATAATAACAAAAAACTACGTCCGAAGATAATAAGAATTTCGATTAATTTAGACTTGCCAAAAAATTTTGTTTTCTTTTTTTGCAATAAAATAACACAAACCTTTTTATAAACATTGGTCCTAAAATGCTACTTCACTGAAATAACGTTCTATTTACATACAAAGTATGAGAGTTATGGCAGCGTGGTTGAAACTAAAAATGCCAAATATTGGGTATGCTGCAACTGTTTTGAGACTCTTTGTCAAAGAAGACTCTTTTCTCATTAGCTTCTTCACAAATCTATAATATTTATGCAACTTGTGTAAGTGTAAGTATACAATAATACATTATCATGAAGGAAATTACAACGTAAAATTTATGCAATGGCAAATCTTCTAAAATGGGACACCCCCCTCAAACAAAAAATATACGAAGTGGACAAATGTAGCACGTCAAAGTTTCAAATACAAAGTATGAAGTGCATAAGCAAAATAATGCCTGATCTCATCTTAGCCAGGGGCGAAGAACAGGGATACCTTACCTCCCACAGAAGAAAAAATAATTCTGTCTACCTCATTGACTTTTTTGCAACGCCTATCGCCTTTTTCTTTGACATAATATATCAAATTGTACATAAATTGACTAGGATGTTATTTGAGGAACCTTCAAGCTCTGTACTGAATCTCCAGTGGCGTAGAGATATCGGAAAGCCAGAACTTTAATAGCTAAGTTCTCATTGTATCAATCAACACCTCTTTTGGATTCAAAAAATTGGTTTCGCTTCCATTTACACCACTAGAGTCTCATATTATGAAACTCTTGTACATCAGATCACGGAGCTCATATTTGACTATACAAATATTCAGAAAGCTCCGAATTGTCCATCAAAACAACGACGCTATATTGTTTTTTAACATCATGTATGGCGCATCATTTGCTTATGTTCCACGTTAGACCGTTCGATTCCAATCAAAATCTTCTTATTTTATACCTAAGCAGCTGCGTAGGCAGAATCCTAAATACCGGGCACCGCGGCTGCTACGACGAGCTTAAAGAATCCGATTTTTGAACTGCTTAAGGTTATCTGAACTGGTAAAATCCTCCTCGGCTAGACTGTTCCACAATTTCGATAAATTGGAGACATAGAAGCGGTCGTATCGGCAAGTTCTAGACGTACGAGATTCAACACGGTTAGGATCTGTACCAAGCTGTTACGATCACAAGCAGTGATAACTCCAGATATATCGTCAGTAAGGAAGTGCTTGTTAGTCTTTTATTTTCTCCAGCTCGCCAGCAGAGATTTGGTTGTCACTGTGAATTCCTGCATTCCTGATCATACATGAAAGGAAGTCGTAGATATGTAAGAGGAATGTCGGAGACAAGGCTGACCCCTGAGAAATACCCGCGTTGACATTGTAGAGAAGAAGTCAGTCAGCAATCTGTAAAGCTTCTTTGGGGGCCGTAGGATGGTTTTTTGTATAAGACAGCAGCATGCCGCAGCTGATCAAACGTTTTCGTCTCGGCATAAGACTGGATGCTAATCAATGTGAGACGTTCAAGGCAGTCGAGAAGCTCCCAATTTATGCACCTCTCCATCACGTTACTTATAACAGAAAGCAGAGCTATAGGCCGGTAGTTGTAAGGGTCGGTCTTAGATCCTTCTTGTTGGTTGTGATGGACGTGAGAAAATCTCCTGTTTTCTGTAAAAGTGTCGGTTTCATTCGAGCATAGACGCGAAAGAACTGGGGCAAGCTCCACGTCACATTTCATCAGTACAAAATGCTAGGCAGACGCCATGAGCTTTGGAGCCGGAAATGAGTGATTAATTGTAACTGAACATAGATAATAAAACACCATCAAATCGTCATGTCCAATTTAGCATTTGCCTGTCTATGAAAACAGGCTCGTCGCTCGTATTCAACTCTCTAACCGTTTAACCTGACGAGAGTCAACGGCACTTTTCATACCGACGCGTCGTATGAAAGCTACACCGCCTGTAAACAATGGGTGGTTCACATTCACCGGATGTATCATCCTAAGTATAATGCATGCATGCCATTACATCAAGTTCATGCAATTGCAGACAGCGGTGAATAAGGAGCAGGAAAGTTCGCCACTACAGATGATATTGGTATTCTGAAGTATGCCGAACAAGTTCTATGTGATGTCGTAATTTGAAGCATTGGAATTAAACACAAAAACCTCATAATATTAAATAGCTAATCAAGGCCGTAAATTACAACCACACTACGCTATAATGGGTTCAACTGTGACCTCTCTGTATCTCGTAAAGTACCCATGTAAGAACTGTGATCGAAATGATTCATCAGAAGTTTTAGTCCATACATTTAACTCATTGCCTACCAAATTGACAACGGTATATGAACATAATAATATTAGATACTGGTGGAGAGATCTACCTTCATTAGGCTTGTGCAAAAAGAAACATATACTGAAATCGTCTAACACAACTTTTATCTGCAAACACTCGCACTTTCAAAAATTAACACTATCAACACAGACCTAATGACAGAACTGCAATTTTTCTAAAATCAAGAATCATAGTGATTTTGAAATTCCCAACGAGCTGCTCCAACCACTTTTTTCAAAAAAAGTTGAACTTTTAGACCCCAATGATAATAGAACCGCGCATATACCCAAAGAAACAAGTCCCAACTACGAGTTTACTTCCACATTTAGCACTCCAAAATAGTGTCCATAGTGTCATAAAAAATCCATATACCTTTTAAAAAATTGTGCCGCCTGCCCGACCTGCGCGAAAATAGGAGTGCCAGTCAGGGGCCCCCAGCGGGATTTTAAGAATGCACATCGCCCATCCCTATTCCCAGCTATTTAGTTTTGAATCCTGGGAACTGACAATACTAGACGGCATACATAAATCTCTTTGAATCAAAAAATAATTGGTTGCGTTAGGTTTATAACACTTTCCTCTAACGGACAGTCTCACAGAGATCCACCGACAGAAATAAACTACAATACTCGAAATTCAAGGTTTGCTTGTGGCTAGATTTGTTGGGAATTGTAACGATGTTTGTCTCTAATGTTTTTGATCACCTCCAAATCGTTTACCACAGGGTCCGTCAGGAAGAACCCATGTTTTTCGAACGGGTACTACATCGAGTGGGCTGGACCCGTGTCGGTGGGGAAGTGCGTGTTGGATAGTGGGAGAAGTGCCGTTTCAATTGGCAAGATGGTTTAAAACGTTGAGCATCGTGTGTTCACTTTACGTCGGTACTTTCAAAATGGCGAGTCTGTCGTTCGAACGAACGTGAGTTCCGCGTTCACTTTCGTGTTCCACGTCGTGGGACAGTACCAGACCGTAACACCATTTTGAGATAGGTGGAAGCATTCAACACATCAGGTAATGTGATGAAGAAAAAAGCGCCAGGGCGAAACCGTTCTGTTAGAACCCCCGAAAACGTAGAGAGTTGACACGCTGCAAAACCCGAATCGTTCGGTCCGTTTGCGACCCATAACAATGACATTGCGTTGTTTATGGGTGATGAAGCACATTTTCATTTACATGGATACGTCAATAAACAAAATTGTCGATATTTGTCTCCAGTGAACCCCCAACAGTTGCATGAGCACCCCCTGCATACCCCGAAAGTTACAGTTTGGTGTGCAGTAGGCCTAACGATGATTATTGGCACTTCTTTCTTTGAGAATGATGGAGAAACGACTACTGTGAATCCAGAGCGTTACATCCACATGCTGAACAACTTTTTTTTTCTGGAACTTCGACGTGGACGTGTCCGTCTCAGAACAGTGTGGTTCCAACAAGACGGGGCAACATCTCACACAGCTCACATTTCTTCGGCAAAAATTCCCAGGATGTCTCGGCCCCCTCGCTCCCCGGACCTGTCAACGTGTGATTTTTTTTAGGCGGCTACCTGAAATTAAAAGTCCCAAATTCCTGCACGGAAGCTGGCTGACGCAATGTGCTCATTTCGGGAGAAGCTTAATTCCTGCATGTCGGCTCAAGGGAGCCATATGCCCGACATTTTTAGAAAGTAAATTTTGTTTTACTCAAAAAAATAGCATGTATCTCTGAGTATTTTGATATAATAAAATATGTTTCGCATACTAATTTTGACTGTACTCATTTAAAAAACATGCGTTCTTTCTGACGGACCCTGTGTAATCTTACTTAATCGGCATTTTTATAGATATAAAGAAATTGGTACGCCACTGTTTTTAATTCTAACGTGATGAGCTTCACGATTTCGCGGTCGATTGTTCAAGAACCTGTTAAACTGACTATAGTTCAAGGGTGACATTTCCCTTTTAACCTTATCAATTATGTCTGATGGGCACTTGATTTGATATCGACACCACGGTCACCGTGAAATATTTAGATTGTTTTGGTTCGTATTTCTTCCGAAAGCCTTGAAAGGTAAATATAAATGCTACCACTTTAATTGTTGGGGAAGTCACAGTACGTGACCTTGAAATCTGATAAATGTAGATCGAAATAAACGTGATATGCACATGTTGAGTCGGTTCAAGTTTTTTATACTGAAGCAGCCGCGATGACAGGGAAATCTAAATGCCGACGTACCGCGTACAAACGATATGAAATGGCCTAAATTTCAGGTTAGGAGGAAGATATCCAGATGCGATTTTAGCGAGCTTGTTTAGACATCATTTAGCTATTTTTTCATAAAAAATCATGCCAATACCAATTCATTTAATTTTTTTGAAAAAATTGAGAGATTGATTGAGAGATACAGCAAAAACTGCCAAACAAAGAAGATTCAGATTATCCTCGAATTTAAAGATCAAGTATTTTATTGATAGATTGATATAGCGGAATTCACAGAAACATCACAAAGGAAGAGGTCAAAGAAGAAATGGAGAACAAATTAGGACAGGAAACAATTAAGCGTCATCGCAATTTGAAGTCATGCGACATCTGATCTGATCCAGGAAACTTCAATTTTAGCTCACTGTCTTTTCATTCTACTTTAATTCTGATCCCTCCTGATACAGAAAAGTTTCGCTTAAATCGTTACTTTTTAACAATGCCTATTGACGACGAATAGACTGAAAGACGCTTCGTGGAACAGAATTGTCTTCCAAACCACTTAAATTTACGAAATTAAGCAATAAATTGTTAAACCATCACCAGTAACCGTAAGTGTTATTAAACAATTATTTAACGAGTCCATTTGTGAAAAAACGAAGGAAGAATGTATTATCTAATTGTAACGCTGGTGCTGGCGCTGGTCGTCCCTCATCTTTGAGTTCAATTATTAAGATAATTATCCTTAATTACGAAGTGTATGTATCCCATGAGTAACATCTGCAATGAGGTCTCATTCCACTGCTACCAATCTCATTCTATTTATGGAATAATGCATCAGACTACTGATGTGGGAAGTATAATTATTATTTATATGATCAAGCTTTTATACGCTAGCTAAAGAAGCTTTATATTCTTCAGCCTTCTCCGTCTGGAATTTGACATATTTATACATATACAGCGGTTAATACCGTTAATATTACGTGGAATCGCAGATCTAGATTTTGAAGACAAGCATACTACAAGTACTGAAGAATATGACAAACTTCAGAAATATAAAATTAGGTACATTCATCTGGAATGCATGACATAGTGATTATGCCTAGTCTTTCTTAACAATAACAGGATATAATACTCCATTAAAAACAGTGAATGAATAAAATGTGCTACACGATATTGTAATTATTGCATAACGTCATATACTCGTATAACGATCATTTCTTCACAAGGCTAAAGTCATTCAACAGGTTTCCGATATTGCTTATTCGGAAAGCTGCGATGAAAAACCACACATTGATTTTCAAAACAGGCGATAACGTTGTATCATGATACATGACCGATAAAGCGAAAATTATGCCATAATGTGCTATAATGAAAAAGATTATTTAGAAGTGGCCTCGTTACTACTCGTTTTGCAACTTGCAATCGACTGTTGACCTAACGTATTTACTTGTTCCAGCTAAAGTGAGACAGTGGTCAAGACGTGATTCGACACGACTATTTTTAAACATTACAAGAAGATTTTTGAAAATATTGAATCGCGAAAAAGCTATAATCACTAAAAAAATAAAGATTTTCTAATAGAAATGAGTTGTGAGAGTGAAACATTGCTTGAAACCCGGTATCATGAAACTTTCCTGATGAAACAGTAATTTATTTAAGGAAGAAAATACCTATATTCAATAAATTATCGGTAGATGACAGATTGTTCCAAAACAAAAACTATTATACAAAAAATCGATTGTATCAATATGTTCCTTAGGAAATTGTCAATTAAAAAAGGTGAAGATTGAAAACATCCAAAAATGTGACAAAATAGACATAAAAACATAATATTAGAATACTGGGGAAATTCATGAATCTCCTTGATTTATGTCACTTTAAGACAATACTAATACAACATAGAAAAAAAAATATATATATATATATAATGTAAAAAACAGTCAAGCAGCACGATCATAATTACAAATTGAAATAAGATAGATATATATATAAATAATTTATTATTTACTATTCTCAGATGTTCCTGACTAAAAGGTATTCGTCAACATAATAATATCTTTTTTATTAATAAGAACTTCATTTTTACTTTGAATACATTATGGTTCGTATGTTTCAAGTTGTTAGGAACTTGGTTGTATACTTTTATCGCCATATATTTAGGACTCTTTTCCGTGTTAACTAATATATATATATATATATATATATATGTGTGTGTGTGTGTGTGTGTGTGTGTGTGTGTGTGTATGTGTGTGTGTGTATGTGTGTGTGTGGAATCCACTTGCAATTTTCTAACACCTGGATTCCTAAAAACTTGGCAGAGCTGACTTGTTCGATTGAATTATTTAGGGATTTTAGTAACAAGATATGGTCAGGACTGTGTTGGGCAAGGGAACACGTAGGAACTGTGTCTGCCGTGGTCAAGATCAAGACATCTATGAACCACTGTTGTATTCTTAACTCTTCACCAGCAACCCATGCATTTCAGTGTTATTTGAATGACTATCATCAGAGTTCAAAAATGTTGAATCCCAGATTTTCCAATTAAGCTCCAAGATGAATAGGAGCTTCTGAAGCATACTGTACTGCATTTGGTATGAAAATAGGAAAAAAATCATTTACTGCAATACCTTCAACGCGCCAGCAACAACCTCGTGATGAATGATATTCCGGTGAATGTGGTTCTATAAACATGATTTGTGCTGAAAGATTTTACTGCATATCAACTAGGAACACTCAGGATGTTTACCTTGCGAGTATCAAAAATATCGCGAATCGGAGCATGTTCTTGTTACTAAAAAACATTTCCAAATTTCCTGTTTCGGTTATTAGGTTGGATGGAAAGTTCTGCAGATTTTGAAGTCAAACGTTAATCAACGTATCTATTCTTTAAACGTTCTTTTGATCACCAATAATTGGTCATTTGACTCTCTCTCTCTCTCTCTCTCTCAAGGTTAATAGTGTGCCAAGGACGAGCAAACTTGTGGATTTTTGAAGATCGATTCACCGGTATTGGAGCTAGGGACAAAAACAAAAAAAATCGCTCAGTTTTTGATGTTCCAAATGCTCCTGATCATTTTAAGGAAAATTTTGTAGGGGTTTAAAATTGGAGGTGGGGGGAGTACGTCTCAATTTTTTGACGTTAATATATTTATACGCTTCCAATCCTGGTAATTATACGCTCCGATTAACCATATTTCATACCAAGATTTCCGCGTATATCCGCTCTCAAGACTTGATGAATATTTTCAACAGACCTGCGTCGGTGTCTGACCGAGGGGGTGAGCGGCGAGATTAGTCATATCAACATTGCGAGATGGTCAATACGGTCGGTAGGGCAAGGGAGAAATTTCTAGACGGCAACGTTGTCAAATGAGTGGGAACTATGAACTTATTATATGCTGACTTAATTCATTTCGACCGCAAGTGCTTGATTGGACTAGGACTCCAGCTTTTGTATTTACAAATGGTGACCACTTCTCCTGCACTGTAATGAGGATGTACTCATTATATTCTTTGGTCATATGCCACCCAATGTTCGCTTATTCGAATCAACTGAAGCTATCCGAATTCACCTTTCTGTTTTGAACGTAAGTCCTAGCAGATGCAAGCAGCATTGTGAATTCACCAAAACTAGAAGAGATGTTATAGACTCAGATGGACGATGGTCAATATTTTGTGGATTAAATGTGGATATACATTAATTCACTTTTCGTCTCAAAAATCTACAAGGTTTTCCCTCTAACCCAATACATGGTGTGAAACAAACCAATTTCATCACATAAGCTCGATCTCAGTGCGTTTTGTTTTTTCCAGTACTTGGAGATGACGAACGTCAAGAAATAGATGTTTTATTATGATTTCATACCTCACTATAGTTGAATAATATTGCCTGATTGTAGAATTTTTCCAAATAAGACTCAGACGATAAAATCATATACTCGTAGTCATTATAATTATTATAACCTTCAAAGATCCTATTTCCTAATACAAAAAGATATATCAGATCCAGCCAGACGTTCGACGTCAAGAGCTATCAAGTTAACCCTTATTGTGAATCGATAGAATTAGCGATATTTTTCTCGATTTTATTTACTACCGGCAACAATAGCTTAATTTTAAATAGAAGTTAGGTGAGCTTTGTCCTGATGGTCAAATGTTTATAAAAATCAAATTGGATTTCAAGTAATCGTGAAACAAATCGAAGGAATATGACCAACGAAAAGCCACCCTGCAGGGACATAAACAACCACTATCAACAGCCCCGACCAATAATCTCAAGCATCCACCTAAAAATCACATAAATTCTTTATCGCATGACAACAAGATAACATTGTTTTTGGGGTGCATATGATTAACACAGCATAACGCATTGTAAAGGAATGTCGGTTCACTGAGCTTCCACGCCCAGTGCCTTTGTAGATTCTTCAAAACACTGTTATCAACTAGACAGTCAGGAAAACTAAAGCTTTCATTTATTGGTTGCAATACTAATTCAAAAACGATATATTAATTTTTATTTGGAGATAGAGATCGTTTTTAAGCGGAGGAGCGTCAATCAAAAGTATTCCATCTATCACACAGAAAGGAGATATTGGAGGTTTAAACAAGCAGGCGAAAATAAGCACACGACAAAGTCGAACTAGGATCGAATTTTTGTCAGTCAGTGGCTATCAAAATAAAATAGTCGTTTATACTTATACAATAGATGATTTTCAAGTTTGAAAGCTTAGAAGGCAATCATTTAGTAACTATTTTCGTGCTGCGAATAGCTTGACGTGCGTTGGAGCTTTCAAAGGTAAATACTTGAATCAGTGTCATGAATTATTTCCGTCTTCAGTTAGTTGCAAAAAAGTCGCCAATCTAACTCACCTTTTCGTGTATCTATCTTCTCCAACGGTTTTTCAGGACGAAGCTTCGAAACTAACAACCGGCAGTTGTCACCAATTGTTTAAAAACCAAGTCCAACGATGTTAATTATACAAATTACTCTCACATCAGAAATGAAAACTTGAAGCGTCACAGTGATGCATTCCTGAAGACAACCGCGAAGCAGTTGACGTTGTTGAAGACGCGAACCGTTTGATGTTTGATGATGGTTGTTGTTTGGGTTCTCGTGAAACCGACCACGGCAAGACTTGCTCTCGACGGTTCCCAGCGCACCAGCGGCGCGTCTACGTCGATGGTATTTAATTTCTAGGTGGACGATGATAGTTCTGGAGCTTGATACCTTTTATTTGTATTGTTCTAACGTCCTTATTTTTTTACGCCGAAGCAGCCACGCAGGCAGAAGCCTAAATGCCAGGACTCCGCGGCTGCTTTGAGAATCCCAAAAAAATTTTATTAATCCAATTTTTGAAAGTAGGTTAGGTTAGTAAATCAGGGAAAAGTTTCCTCTTGTAGATTGTTCCACAATCTCGACATCGCCGGGACAAGAAGCGGTCGTATCGGACAGTACTGAATGTACGTACACGGTTCCGATGGCCAACTAACAATTATCACTCCTATTAGAGTTGCAAGAATGATTATACAGTATTCCTTACACAGCATTGTATACTGTAAGAACATTGGCAAAACTCTCTTAGAACAGCTATACAGGCGGAATGGGCACACCGAATAGGACACTTCAGTCATTTAAGAGGTTGTATAAGGGCTGCAAGTAACACATACAACAAAAGTGTAAGCCTCCTGCAGCCGCTATAGGACATTTGCGTCAGTGCAAGATTCAGTTTTTGTCAACTATACAACTATTCCGTTACGTGATTCTACTTTATTGCGACAAAACTATTTCTTATGTATTGTATAGACGAAGTGAAGAATATATAACTAACACATTACAGTCATCTTGTTTACTTACATAGCGGCCATTGTGAATTTCATACACAGGTATATGATAAACGTCTACACTGTGATATAGGGTTGTTGAATTACCTGCGCAGCAAATTTTATTGTGATTATCGTGCAAAGTAGTTACGCAATTTCTACGAGCTTCGTATTTGATTCATATTTTAATAATGATCAAAAGTATGTCTAGATTTTTAAGATGGAAAACTTAACTTATCTGCGTTAAATCTTCCACAAATCCTATATTTAGACACAATTACACTTTATATCTGTAATTTCGAACTTAAACATAATTATATATTTAATATTAAATAGAGGAATAAATGGTTGCCCAATATGGCGGGTGGTTGTGTATAATCATGGCATCGTCCATGTTGTCTTTAGTTTTTTAGAATATTTTGGTGTTGCCTGCAGATGTTATACAACAATTTGACAAATGTCTGAAATGAAATACCGACAGAGTCGAATGATTTGCCCAGAATTTGTACCAGATCTATATCTTCTGTTTGAACAGTTGATAAAACCGTTTGAACCACTATGTATGCGTTGTTTGTCTTAAATCATTGGTTATGGCATTTTAACAAAAATATGACAGCAGAAAGTTAGGTTAAGGTGAAGTTGTATACCAACATATTTAGAAACAAATTATGCCGAGCACAGCAATTTTGTACTACAAAAGTTGTAATATTGTTGCATATGTACAGCCGTTAACAGTTACTAAACAACAGTTGTATAAGTGCTTCCGTTGGGAGCAATTTGTTGGCTGAGGCCCGTATCGTCAGTCGTCCCTACAATTGTAGGGTGCGTTTATGACCTCCTTGATTCCTTGATTGACATACTCTTTTCTCTCCTTCAAAAATTTCTAGATTACACTCGTCCCGTGTCAGCGTCAGCGCTCTCCTATTGTTAAGATATGTTTTCCTTTTAAATTGTATGAAATTTCAGGCTGAAAACATGATATAACTCAAAAGCAAGCACAATTTGATGCAAATAGATGTTTGTGACATAACCTCAAAATAGAGTTCTGACACGGAGAAGTAGAAAACTATGACAATCAAGGAGGCCATAAACGCGCCCTACAATCGTAGGGAAGACTGACGATACGGGCCTAAAGTAGTAAATTTGCACAGCAAAACAACAAGGCTCCGGTTTGCTTTATAAAAGTTACCATGGATGCTAGAACACAACCATTTTGACTAACGTGCAAATATGCCGTATAAAATAGTTGTATAAATATTTATGCAACAGTTAAAAATTTGTCCTTTAAGGTGTTGTATAACTATGCTATAAGAATATTTTAAACACCTCATTTTAGAGCAAATATGTTGCAGAAAGCAAATTTGCATTCCACACAACATTAAGCTAGCATTTTGGTGTTCAGGCAACAACAATAGAAGGCTTTTATGGCTGAACGGTTCTTTTGCCAAAAGCTTATAGCACTACTTTGCAAGTTGGGAGGAGACCGAAATCAGGCGGGTCTATCTGGTAGGCACATGGAGCAGAGCTCTGAGGAGCAAAGCCCTTTGGTGTAGCGGTAGAAAAGACCTAGATCACTGATCGTCATGGAGCTTGTCTGTTCTCTACAGTTTGATTTTGCAAGAAGGTTCTGTGTACCTTGATCTTCTGCTGACGAGCAGTGTCGCACGATTTGTTGATCCAGCCGTTTGACCCTGGTTTAGGCTCTTTCACTGTAATGTTTTCAATAATATACAGGGCATTCTGAAAATTGTATTTTGCTTTTCAGAAATAACTAAGGCTAAAATATCAAAATTAATGTACCGCCCTGTCACATGTTATGTATGAACACTGTTCGAAGTAATCAAAATGAACGTTATGGTTTGAATTACGTACAGCACATCCGGTTTTGCGCTCGTCTATGGACCGTCATCAATACAATGGTGCAACAATCTCTGCCATAAACTTATGCAACGAGGAAAGCTCCTGGCCTATGAAATTTCCAAGGTACAATAATGGATCTTCACGCTTACCTACCTGTGTAAACGGTTAGATATGTTGCGGTCGTCGTCGGCTAACATTAGACAAGCTGATCTGACCGACAGGTATTTCTGGTCTTGTGATGTTTGAATAAAAATGTGTGTCTCCGGAAATTGAATTGCTAATGCACACAAACGTTTTTTGTTTTGTCGGTTATTTTAAAAGAGACATATGGTAGAAGATTGATTTTGAGCCTTATTTTATTTTGTCTTTAAAAAACGAAAGCTTATACAATAACGGATATACATGTTCAATATTTTGGAAAACTCGGTTTTGTTATTTTTGAAGTCGAAATTAGTCAACAGTTATATGAATATTTTTTGGAAAGCGTCAAATAATAAAAAAGTAAAAAAACAATCCTTCATATCTGACCGGTAAAAGTGTTTACTTCAGATTGGAAGCCTTCCTGTTGTAGTCTGGAGGATGGAGTTTTTTTCTGGATGCATTCACGAATCTAAAGCTTAGTGAAACTTTACAATCTTATTTTTCTTCTCTTTTTTTAAGGGACTCTGCAAAAATCAGTTGTAGAAGAAACTAAATCGCATTTCTTAATTTCATCAAACAACTACGTCACGCAGCTCATGACCTATGATCCAAAAAATCCCTTGACGAATCTACAAAGTCTGTAGAAGGAAGCGATCTAGTACGGAAAATTATCATAATAAATGTTCGGACTTCCGTGGATATGGGGCAGAAATTCATGGATTGAATTATTCTAAGACTGCTTCGTCTTTTGACGATTTTCGAACTGCGACGTTGTTTCGTAGATACGGGACTAATAAAAGTCAGTTTTTCTTAAATAACCGTTGAACAATAAGGTGTAACCCCGATGAGCTTTTGACTGTGTAGTTACTTCTTAAACCTCACATGATAGTAGCTACGAAAAACAGAAAACTCATTTAGGTGGCATAGGACGACTGCCTCAAAATTGCGCATTTTTTACACCCTTTGGACTTCTTTTATAAAAAAATGAATTCTTGATTAATTTCGAAACAGTTAACCGTGTTTCATGGATCGGTTCTTAAAGAGCTCAAATGCAGAAGAAACACCGGATAGATTCCTGGAATAGCGTTGGCGTGGCAAAGGAGCAAAACCATTTAAGTTGTGGAAGAAAGAAAACTCAGTTACATCATATCATACAGGGTGGCCCATAAGTATGTAGTTTGTTTAATTACTGGGGAAGGAAGTAAGTACCGTCAGTTGTTGAAAAAGGAATAAAGTGATTTGGAAGGTCTGCTTGAGCGAACAAAAGTAATTGTCACCCAGAACGTGCGACTCATCGCTATACAGAAAATTGCAGAAATTTGCGTTCCAGATAATACCCTGCTTGCGAGGGTGGACAACGTTTGACGAATTGATGTCCAGTTAATGAAAATGTTATAACGTGTTTTTTTGCTAAATATATAGGGTGATTCAAATTGGGTTTCCACCTTAAAAGTATTTAAAAAAAAGAAGAAATTGAAAATTATAAAAAAGTATGTATTTGTCCTTTCAGGGCAGTTCATTGCGATTATGTTTGAAAGATGATATCAAGTAAATGACCGCCGCGGCTCATGTGGCATGACGTAATCCGTTTCGAAAAATGTTCGACTACTCCGTGGCACAAATCTGGTCCTATGTTGGTAATTTCGCGTCTGATCTCCTGTTTCAGCTCCGCAATAGTGTTCGGGTTATTCTTGTAGACTTTGCTCTTGCAATACCCCCAAAGAAAATAATCAGGGGGAGTTAAATCACAGGATCGCGGCGGCGAATTGATATCGCCGTTACCTACGTGAAATAACGCGACCTGGAAACTGGCCCCGCAGTAATTCTATCGTTTCTCCTGATGTGTGACCTAGGCTTCAATTCCTGTGTTATTTGGACTCTGTATGGGTGTAACTTCAAATCTTTTGTTAAAATCCGCTGTATAGTGGAATAAGTAAGGGCCAATTGCTGCGATCGATGACGAATCGAGGTTCTTGGATTTTCGGACACACTTCGGACCGACCTCTACGAGCACGCCTAGGGATTTTGGTATTAGCTACGGATCCAGTTTGATCGAATTTTTGCACCAAATTCCAAACTGTCCTCTCACAAGGCCGATTTTGTGCGCCAAAAAATTCACGTAAAGCACGAAATGTATTCTTCCTTGATCGGCCGTTTTCATTATAGGCTTGGTTAATTTTAACACGTTGTTCGGTCGAATATTGCTTCATAACTGTTTTGTTTGTATTTTGACGTTGACAAATTCAGTGGCGTTTCAAAAAAAATTATTTGTAATGTGGAAACTCAATTTGAATCACCCATAATATATATATATATATATATAAAATGGGTCACCCTGTACTAACTGATGAGGATATGATGTATATTCTATGATCCATTTAAGTCATTTCTGAATATATATGAGTATTCAAATGTCATAATATAGCCCTACTTTCCAGAAACACTCGGTGATATTGATATAACCACGATATGCTTGTAGGTACTCATATTGCGAGTTGTATGTGGAGCGATTCCAAGTCTTTAAAGGAAAACGCAGAACGTTGCTCTGATGAAATGGGTGTGGATGTATCAGAAATGTAGATCACCCAAATTGCTTTTAAGATATTAAATGTGCAGAAACGGAAATAGGCCATAAATCATCTTCTATATATTCGAAATCTATAATCTTATAAGGCTTTTAATGGAACATTAAAATTACGTAACTTGTACTTACCGGGGTTACGTGAATAATGCTATTAACCGATAAGGAGGTCATTTTTATCGAATCAAAACATCAATAAGGCTATAGTTATGTATTTAGAACGTAAAGTGTGCGTTGATGACCTGAGACGTGAAATTAAAGCAGAAGCTACGAAGACACTTTATGACAAAGTGTTCCAGTCTGGGCCGGTAAAATAACTTTAGCGCCCGCGATCTTCAAATTAACGTATGCCCACCGACCACGAATACTGTCCGTATGCTTATTTGTTGCTAGGCTTCCTCTTCTACAATCAGGACACAATGATATAGTACTATACTATAACTATCTAAAACTGTAATGACTCATCGATGTTCACGTGAACATCACTTAACTACCAGTAGTCGGCTGTTCATAGGCGGGGTATGAATGTTTAACATGGGTGAACTAGATTTGTCACGTGCTTAATAAAGAGTGGTTTGAAACATATTGTAAGTCAAAAATTTGGGAATTACCTTTATTCATCGTCGCTTCCACTTACATCTGACAGTAATAAACTGTCGCTATCGCTTTCCTCGTTGAAATTAACTATAACTGGCTCTATGATGGTGTCGATGTGGTGGTCAAGCTGCCACATTTTTGTTTCTTCCTTCACAACATGAGGGATAGCATTCTGCCAAGCTTCGGGCGTTACTAGCTGTATGGAAGTCTCAAGTAAAACCTTAACGTCTGGTAATTTGAAGGTTGTGTTATGGCGCGCAATATAACCCTTCACTTGAGCCCAGATGAGCTCTCTTGGGTTCAGTTCACAGTGGCAGGGCGGTAACCGCAGCACAGTGACACCACATTGACGGGCCATCTCATCAGTCACGTAACTAATGTTCGCAGGTTTGTGCTGTTTAATTTTTTCATACAATTCCGCTTTCACACATGAATCGTCAAACGGGATTCCTTTTTCGCGCAACCATTGCTGCATGTCACTTTTTCGAGATCCCATAGTCGGTACACGTTCGGCTCGACGACTATGGTAGGAAGCATTATCCATGACGATCACAGAGTTGGGCTCAACTCGCTGAAGCACCCCTTGAAACCAGCTCTCGAAGCAGCTGGCATTCATTTCGTCATGGTAATCACCTCCTTTCTTAGAGACGAAAATCAAGTCACACTCTTCTAAAAAGCCACTATCGCTACCAATATGAGTTACGATCAATCTTTGACCTTTCCCTGACGGTCCACGAAGACCTGTTGACAAACCTTCAATGCTTGCTTGTCGGTTACTCACTACGTTTTTGTCTATCCAGGTTTTTTTTAACTGTGTGACCTGCATTTACCCATGTCTCGTCCAAATAATAGATTTTTCTGCTTTGTCGCCAATTAAAGTATTTTTGACTCATTTTTTTATTCACCCTATAGCCGGTTTTAGATGGAATTTTACTTTGGCATGTTGGGGCCCGCACCGCAATAATTTCACGTCGTGGGTTACAAAGTCCACCTTAGATGTATAAATAACTATTATTGTATCATTTGTACTCTCGTCAAATAACTCTGAAAATTCTCAGCTTTGGGATGCGGAAAAATCACGTCTGGTTTTGAACAACACTCGTAATTCCAAGGTTGATACAAAAAACGAAATAAGCTAGTAAGGTTCATTGATTTTCACCAAGCACGCTACCTGATACCTTGAAATACGAATTAAGTATTTCTGCATTATCCCAAATTTGCTGACTTTTAAGACTATGAAACACGCCAGTATATTGATATAGCAGCCCGATTATATCAGTGTAAAGCATTATTTCAACTAAACAGGAATACAATAGCGTGTAGCTGACATATGCTACCAAAGTACGTTTCCAATATAAGAGGTTGCTGGGACATGGTGAATGCCGAACTTGTGTCTAGCACATGTTGTAGGCTTTAAAAACGTCTGGCACATGTATGCGCAACATTTATCCGGTAACTTTACTTCGATATTTGCAACATGTTTTCTGATAAACACACATTGTAATGAAAATACTATATATGATTTATTATCCTCATAATAATTTATTACAACACTTGCAACGAATTTATTACAAATTTATGACTATGTCAACTGGACTATGGTGTTCTGTGTTGTTAACGCGTCATCCACTGTCGGTCGACTCTGCCCTCTGTGCGTGTGTTTATTTTTGAATCGAGGAATCCAGAAGCGTTCCCACGTATACCAGATAGAACTTGAATCTTCATCGAAGCTGGTAGATGGCGGTCGATATTTCTCGATGCGTGCCGAATGTTCTTGATTTGCAGTCGAGTAATTCTGGTTGCGTAAGCGTCGAGATATTAAGAGGGTGTCTCGTTGTTACTGAATGTTCTACTTACGAAGCCATCACCATCTGTATAGTTTCGTTTTCCAAAAATCCTGAAGTGTCGTGGTGGGGCTGAGTTTAAAGTGGGAAAGAAGGTCAATAAGATTCCGCCCTTTGCCCAATTGAAATAAATCGAGTTTGTGAACTTTGAAGCATTGCCAGATAAAATGTGGTGGCTGTTTTTGCAAACTATTGAGAAGTACAACTTTATACGATGGAACATAATTGCAGGTCGGATACGGTTATTTAACTTTTTTTGAATTTATCCTCCGAGTGGCCTTAACATACCCGTCAGATTCCTTCCTAAACAAGATGGTGTATGATTTTGATTCAACGGCAGCCGAAACTTATGTAACCTAGAAATAACCTTCAGATATCCTCATATTGAATAATTGACTCGGTCTTATTAATCAGAAAAATCCAAATGACCCGTTAGGCTCATCTGCTCGGCTTTTGAAAAAATACTTGATATGACCTTCAAATGTCATAGAGACAAACTAATCATAGATTTTAAATCACCATAAGAATCTTATGTAACCGGCATCTGGACTCAAATACTAGAATTATTTTGATTTAGTCCTTGAAGTGATCTAGAAATGACCTTCAGATGTTCTCATAGTGACTAATTGACCTCTGGCTCGGTCTTATTAATCAAAAAAATCTAAATGACCGGTTGCGCTAACTGTTCGGCTTCTTTTGAAAATGTCCTTGATATGACTCAAAGATCCCTGTTGTGCTCAAAATGCCGTAGAAAAATTTTTGGTGCTCTAGACCACTGTGCGCCATTTTTTTTTTAAATATCTCATAGGAAACTTTAAAATCTGTCACAGAATTGAATTATTCAAATGCTAGAACCATTAATTTGAGGTTAGGCGTCTCCACTTATCGCGATGTTGCTATCATAATATAGAAACAAAAACGCATATTAAAGTTTTAATGATAAATACAATACAAAAGCAAATAAACAAATGTTAATAACTTCTTCCAAACAAAGTATAGAACTTAGGTTTCCTTTTACAATCAGGATGTATACACTTATCACTGCTAGTGATGGGTGCAGGTTGATCCAATGGTATGCATAACGATTTTGCTCCCATAGATGGCGCTCCTGGCTCCACTACGTCAGTATTATCTCTGAAAGAAAAAATATATGGGAATTAGATCTGAAGGACCATTGAAAAACAAAAATATCAATATTCCTCTGAGCTCCCTTCCGAAGGCTAGAGCTGCCAGACAGATCCGATAGGTTTCTACTTCTTGGTCGAAATCTCAGAAGTCAGACGAGTCTGTCTAGCAGGTGGTGACGTCATAAAGGTCAAATAAACGACTTCAAAATAACTGAATAAGCACAAGTCATAGTTCAAATACCTAGTTTTCAGTTGATTTAATCTCAATTAATAAGAAAACTACTGAAAAAAATTAAAAACTATATGGATCAAACCTATATGTAATCATTTATCTTAAAAGTAGTTACCTGGCACTATCAGCTTTGATCTTATCTTCACAGCTCTCTTCTCCACAGAAAGGCGCCAAAATGATGTTTTTCTTGTCAAGGTTCGACGTGAAATCGGACCAGTTTTTCAAAAGGATTTTGTGAGACTCCAAATCTTGTGTTGCTCTGCAAAAAAAGACACAATATTTTATAACCCGAAAGTGAGTATCACCTTACCCTGTCTGCATTTTCAACAAAACTGAATGACATACCAAAAGTAAATCAAGTAAAAAAGTTCATGCTTGAGGTCACAATACTGCTAAACAAAAAAAAAATACTTACTTTGCCAACATATTTTTATGTATGGTTTCCAATAGTTCCTTCAGTTTTTGGGCTGCCCCATTACGAGGCAATGTGATCTTTTCGCCAGTATCCCTTCTGACAGCAACGATTTGGTTCTTTTCTATATCTTTCGGTCCTACCTCTATCCTCACTGGCACACCCTAAAAGAAATATATTTCGTGAAATTTCAAAATAGCAAGTACTCTTAAACAGAGAGTCCTTCCATGTCTCCTCAAAAAAAAATTCGCACCGCAAAATATTTGACACAGCAACCACTCTGCAGATGAAAATAGCGAAATAGTACATTACACACCTAGGTTGAGAAGTAAGCCAAAATTGTTCAAGAACGATTACATAGGCATAGCGCCGAGTGATAGATGATGATAGATGTGAATAAATGATACCCAATATTCATTATTTATTTCTGTACTGTCGTCTATTATTTATCAGTTGTTCTCAAATACTTCGGAAAATACAGTTTACTTGTCAAACTGAAATGACGAAGTTAGGAGGATACAAGTTTAAATATGACTAGTTAGTAGTGAAAAAAGGAATCATTTGTCAACGAAGGCAACACTAACATCAAATCAAGCTAAAAATAATAACCTTCAACTCCCAATGGTTGAACTTCCATCCAGGCGAGTAGTTCATTCGATAATCCCCTTCTACTCTAATTCCAATTCCCTTCAACTCATTTTCTAGTGCACTGCAAGAAGCCTGCAACTTATTTTTAGCCTCTTCTGGCAAACCAACAGTGATACCGCATGGCACTATTACAGTTTGGATAGAGGCAACTCGAGGAGGTAGTACTAGCCCTTGGTTGTCTGCATGGATCATTATCATTACACCTGGATAAGAAAGTAGGCAATCAAGATAGGTCTGGCACGTAAGTCGGAAATAATATTTCTCGTAAACGGTCAAGCACTAAAATACACACAACACGCTTAGCGGCAAGGAATTCTATATATCAGTTCTAAAACGACGCAAGATGTAATAAACATAATCATACCAATGGTTCTGGTAGTACATCCCCAAGAGTTCTGATACACGTACTTCTTCTCCTGGGTCTCGGGGTCTTCATAGATTATTTCGAACATCTTGGAGAAGTTTTGACCTAGATGATGGGAAGTAGCACCTTGAATGGCTCTACCGCTTGAAGACACAAATGCTTCCACTGTCAGGGTGTAGTCACCACCAGCGAATTTTTCCTTTTCAGTTTTACGTCCTTTAACCACTGGTATCGCCAAAAGGTCTGTGTAGATACCCGCGTACAGATCTACCAAAATTGCATCAGAATATTATAATTTATCTACAGAAGACTGAGCTTACAGCCGACAAAAGAAGGCGCAGCACGATACGGTTCTTACTGCCGACAACATACAGGTTGTAAACGTTATCATAGTCATTATTTAAATGGGTGATGGAGGGAGTTAAAAGAAGCAAAAAGTTTCATATAACATGGGGGTTAAAACGGCATTTTTTTAGAGAAAAGCGACTTTAAAGTAAAATAAAATCTGACAACGCCGCAATGCCAGACGCAAATTACGACGGAACGCAGTGTAAATAAAGATGGAGTTTGTTATTTTTGGCTCTTAGGTATTATTTTATTATTTGATAATGTACTCGTAAAATGCAAACAATTAAAAAAACGGACTTACCACTAACTGTCTCAGAGCTTCACCTGGTGTGTGAAAGTTTATTGAACGTATTAAAAAAAATCCACTTATAAATAGGGAAAACAATTTTGATACATACATTGTTTTTCTTTTTAAAACCCATACTGCACTTTTTTGTATTTAAAGGTGTTCAAATTGTCGTCCTCCACTTGCCACACAAGCTTCATTATGACGAACCCAGTTTCTTCTTACTCTAGGTCCTCGAAGTTGCCCACTTATTATTTCAGCCGCATTAAAGTTTTTTTCGCGAAGTTGTGCTTCAGTTGTTATTGGACCAGCCTTATAAACCATCCCTTTAAGTTCTCCATAATACCAGAAATCCATCGGATTGAGGTCAGAAGATCATGCTGGCCATTTCTCCGTTGTAATGGCATGTTGTCTAAGGTCTGTTCCAAAAGTTCTGGTAGGTTATTGGCTAGAAAGCTGAGGTATCCTTCTCCTGACAACTTTGGGGGTAACTCGAAAGGGCCAATTACCTGATCGTTAATAATACCCGCCCAAATATTTATTTTAAAACGTTGTTGGAAATGACCTTCACGAATGGTATGAGGATTTTCGTGGGCCCACGTGTAAGTATTATGGAAATTTAATATCCCGTCTCGCGTAAAAGTACATATATTCGTGCGTCGCTAGAATGTTTTTAAAAAAATCCGGATTTTCAATGTTTTTGTGCAAAAACCACTGACAGAATGTTAGTCTGCGAGGAGAGGATAATCTACTGGTAACAAGGCCTGCACTCGTTGTACATGGTTGGGATAAATCAAATTTTCCCGTACGATTCTATGGACTATGGTATGCGATAGTCCTACGGGGCAGCCTAATTCCCGAGTGCTGATATCTGCAGTGATTTCCACGATATTTAAAATTTGTTCCTCCTGCTCTACAGTAACCGCTCTTTCATGAGTGCGAATATTAGTGAGCTGAACACTTCCTGTATCTCGAAGTCTTTGGTACACTTGCACAAATGTCCTTCTGATTGGGTGTACCCGTTGGCGAAATCTGTCGCGATAAATTTGAGCTGCAAGATTTGAATTCTGACAAGCTTCACCATAAACTAACAACATGTCGGCGAACTCTTGATTCGAGAACATTGTAAATAAACACGACGACGTACGCGAACAAAACAAAACAACACGCCCGATGCTATGCAAAACGATAACTAATCACTGTTACCGTTTGCGATCGATTGCCGGTTCGATAAGAGTGATGAAAGACCGACGCGCTGTTGTCATGTGTGTTTTAAATATTTAATTTAATGTAACTTACTTACTGACTACAAATGTTGGCTTACCTTAGAAAAACGTAATGCCATTTATTTGTTAAGTACCCAATTTAAAAACGTTTTAGATTAGATTATAAAAATTAGTAAGATTGTGGTGATTGTTGTCGATATAAAGCACTTAAAGTTGTAAACTATAAAGCCATTTTGACCCCTCTATTACCCATTTCAATAATGACTACCATAACGTTCACACCCTGTATAGCGCTCATGGCATCACACCATCTGACACTGAAATTTAACGCAGCAAACTTTTTAAACTCGAAAACGGAAATCTGCGTTCGAGACTTCGAAATCCTGCTGCAAATGTGTTCTATCCCTTTGTATAATGCATACTTACCAAGAATTTGTTTTACTTCGACCTCAGCTTCTTCCTTAAGGGCATAAGCAGTGTGTCCCTCTTGCCACAAGAACTCTCTAGTTCTCAAAAACGGCTGTGGATGCTTAAACTCCCATCTCTACAGAAAAACTACTCAGTTAAACTACAAACTCGAGTTCACGAAACGACTTGAACTCACCACAACGTTATTCCACTGGTTGAGCTTGATAGGAAGGTCGCGGTAAGACTGAATCCATTTGGCATAAGCTGGATACATGACAGTTTCTGATGTGGGCCTTACGGCGATTGGCTCTGCCATATCAGAGTCGCCAGATTTTGTTACCCACGCCACCTTAAAAAACACAGGATGATTGTTTCCGAAAACCTGGTAACATTACTCGCACCGTATAATCACACATATCAGAGAATTCTTAGCATAGAGTATTTGAACCATCTTATGACTTACTTCTGGCGCAAAATCAGCAATATGCGTCTTCTCCTTCTCTAGCACGCTCCTAGATACAAAAATGGGGAAATAACAATTTTCACTCCCAATTTTTTTATCTCGCCATCGAACCAGTCTTTGATGACTTCCCAAATCGCGAACGACCACGGTCTGAGGATGTAGCAGCCCGAAACGTCATAATATTCAATCATCTCTCCTTTCGTGATCACTTGTGAATACCAATCGGCTAGGTTTTCTTCTTTCTTTGCTTCCAAACCGAGACGAGTTTGCTTCTTCGGACCACCTTCTTCAGATTGCTGCACGCACAAAAAATGGTGTCAAGAAGAGTGATTTTATACTTCCCCGCCTTTCGTCACAGCTCCCGATACAAGTTTCAGAATTTCAAAAGAATAATATGTCAAATCGATTCTCGCCAGTTGATGTGGGTAGTAAACCAAACAAAAAATCAGATATACAGCAGACGCTCGATAACGTAAACACGGGATAATGAAAACTTGCGCTAATGTAAACACAAACTTCGTTCTATAGGATCAAACGGAACGCGCGATAACGTAAACAATGTGTACGCTCGATAACGTAAACAACTCTCGGCGCACGGAAACAGCGCGACGGTAAAATGCTGAAGCCTCGATGATTCATGTCGGGCTTCGGGGAGTCCCCGATTTATGATGTAGAGTGTACGGGATTCACCTCTGCGATAAAATACGACAAACTCGGTCAGTCGTATGATCGTTTAGGATACGTTTATACGTATGTATGTATTTCATTTTTGAACTTAAGTGAATACATTGCACGCGTTAATATATTTTACGACTATGGCATCCACATCCTATAAAAGAAAGTGTTTAAAGTTGAGTGAGAAAGTGAAAATCATAGACGAAGTTTCACTAGGTGCGGGAGTGACACAGTTAGCAAAAAAATATGGAGTATCGAAAGCAACAATATGTAAAATTAAGCGTATGAAAACTCAAATTTTACAAAGTACGTGCAATACATTTGGAGGTCCGGGAAAAAGAAAAACTTTAAAAAATGCGAAGGCACCTAACATGGAAAATTTCCTGTATAAGTGGTTTTTAAAACAACGGGAAAATCATGTCCCAGTTAGTGGCGAAGTACTTAAACAGAGAGCGAGACTGTTAAATGAAAAACTGAAAGAAACTGAAAATTTCGTAGCTAGTGATGGCTGGCTACAACGATTCAAAACAAGATATGGAATTCGATTGCTGTCTATATCTGGTGGAAAATTGTCAGCACAACCACAATTAGTGCAACCATTCAAAGAAAAATTGATGAAAACAATTACCGAGCTAGATTTAAGAATGGAACAAATTTACAACGCAGATGAAAGTGGCCTTTATTGGAAAAATGTTACCAGAGAAAACCTATGCTGCATCATTTGAAAAATCTGCCCCGAGAAGAAAGCCGGAGAAACAACGAATAACGTTTCTAGCCTGCACTAATGCTAATGGTTCACACAAAATAAAGCCACTGGTAATTGGAAAAGCAAAAAATCCGCGCTCATTTAAAAATGTTAATATCCCTGTTGATTATGACTGTTCAAAAATCGCTTGGATGACTAGCAGTATATTCCTGAAATGGTTCCACAGGTGCTTTGTCCCTCAGGTATGACAATCAATTATCACAAATGCTCTATTCATAATTTGAAGATGTGTTTTCAATTTGTAGGTAAAATGTTTCCTAAAACAACAGAAGCTTCCAATAAAAGCGTTGTTACTATAGGATAATGCACCAAGTGATCCTCCCGAGCAACAACTGAGGAGCAGGGATGGGTCAATTTTCGTCATGTACATGCTGCCCAACGTAACACCGTTAATTCAACCGATGGCCCAGAATATAATAAGACTCACCAAACTATACTATAGGAAGTTTCTACTTTCGTCTGTCTTATCAAAGAATCCTGAAAACTTATCTGAGGCTTTTAAAAAAGTAACATTACGAGAAGCTGTTTTAGATTTACATATGGCCTGGAATGAACTTAATCAGCAAACTATTAAAAAATGTTGGAACAATCTCTTTTATACCAATAATGAAGATGATGAAGAAGACGATGTCCCCTTAAGCGTAATTAGAGAACGTTTGCGATCCAATAATGATAATGTTATTAGTGTGTCATTGGATGTTGTTGATTTATTGAAAACAGTGAATCCCAACATTGTTTGTACTCCTGCTGACTAGTGACTGACGCGCAAGCTATACAAGTTTTTAACCAAGCTTTAGATTGGGCTGAAAGAAAAGAAGTTTCATACACGGATATTTTAGTTCTTCGTAAATTACGGGCGCAGGCATTGGAAGACAATGCTAAGCGCAAATTTACGCAGACAAAAATTGTTAATTATTTTTCTTCTAATTAAAAAAATAATTATCGCTGTTAGAATATTTGTTTATTTTGTTATAAATAGTATGTATTAAACGTTTCTTTTAATAAATCAAACATTATATAAATCACGTTCGCTAATGTAAACATTTCGATAATGTGAACCACACTTGGATTAAAATAGTTTACATTATCGAGCGTCTGCTGTATATTGATAACATAACTAAGGGGCAGTATAAGCTGGTATAAGCTAACAGGGTATGTTAAATTTCTTACCACACTATCAACTGCTTTCTTTTCCTTGACAGAAGGTTTCAGTTTCTCTTTAGGAGTGGCAGCAGGTTTCTTTTCCTTAGGTTTTTGTGGTGTTCTACCTCCAGCAGGGAAATCCTCTCCCGTAACCGTTTTGTATTCAGCTTTTAGGTCCAACAAAAGTTTCACAGCTGCATCAATCTGATCCTACAAATATAACATTTTAGAGCCGTCAAAAGAAAAAACGTAGGGAGGTCAAACAAACCTTGACTACCCTGTTAAACGATCGGGAATTCGTGTATGATATCTGAGATATTTTCCTGTGGGGATACATCAAGGCTCGTGTATACAACAAGCCCAGAACTCTGGACGAGTTGAAGGAGGCAATTCGCGTGGAAGTCACCCCAGTTGAGAGAACGATGTTGGAGAGAATCTACGCGAACTTTCAAGAACACCTCCAGCAATGCCTCGTCAAGAACAGTCACCACATGACAGATGTGATTTCCCACACTTAATTGTGACAAACTCTATTTAATTGTGAACCCGAATCCGTCAATAAATTTATTTTTGAGTAAAAATTACCGATTTTGTAATTTTTTTAAAACCGACCGACCTTTGTGCCGGACCCTGTATTACAGCAAAAATAATGTACAAACCTTGCTAGCTTTCTTGGCCTTCAAATCCCTAACCAAGTTTCCTTGTTCAGTGATCTTGGCCGTTAGAGCATCCTTAACTCCATCTCCAGCCCCCATTGAGGTATCTGCGGGAGGAGGAGACACCTCAATCTTTGGGGCAGTTTGTTGAGATGCCGTTTCTGGCTTCATGCCAGGCTTCCACTCTTTGCCAGTTAGGTTCTTGAAGTCTGCTTTCAGTTGTAACAGGGTCTTTACTTCTTGGTCTATCGCTGATTTATCAGCCTTTTCTGGAAAGAGATGACGTCGATCAAAATCATCAATAACATACCAACCAAAACAACTTTTTCAACTTACTGGTCTTCAGATCTCGTACTTTTTCACCATGCTCTGCAATTTTCTGGAGAAGATCATTTTCATTCTCTCCAGAAGTTGAAACAGGATCAGCAGTGGAAGCAGGAGTCATTCCAGGTTTCCACTCTTTCCCAGTCAGTGCCTTGAAATCTGCTTTCAAAGCAAGTAACGTTTTTACTTCAGTATCTATGGTTGCTTTATCAGCTTTCTTCACCTTCAGGTCCCTCACTTTATCACCTTGAGCGGCGATTTTCCCAAGAAGTTCATTTTCGTTTCCACTTGAAGCATTTTGAGCTGGAGGAACACTTGGAGCCATGCCAGGCTTCCATTCTTTGCCGGTCAGAGCCTTGAAATCTGCTTTTAATGTGAGTAATGCCTTAACTTCAGCATCTACAGCAGATTTATCAGCTTTTTTCGCCTTGAGATCTCTGACTTTATCTCCCTGAGCGGCGATTTTGGCAAGAAGCTCATTTTCATTCCCACCTGGAGCACTTTGAGTAGGAGGAGCACTTGGAGCTGCACCTGGTTTCCACTCCTTCCCAGTTAGAGTCTTAAATTCAGCTTTCAGAGATAGGAGCATTTTAACTTCAACGTCTATAGTAGCTTTATCGGCTTTCTTTGCTTTCAAGTCTCGTACTTTCTCTCCTTGAGCCGCAATCTTTGCTAACAGACTTTCTTCTGTCTCTCCTTGTGGTTTGGCTTCAACCTTAAAAACAACATACAAAAAATAGTCACAAAAATAAAAGTAACCTTTCAGATCCGATTTACCTTCTTATTAGTTTCAGCTGTCTTAGTTGTAGTTGTATTCACGATAGTTAAGGGGTTTTCTTTGGTATGGCCGTCGGGAATATAAAATAGGATGACAGGTTGTGCTTTACATGTAATTTCACTTGGTGGTTTGTAAGCCACATCAACTCTGAAAAATCCGCGTCTTTGTAGTTGAATGATGTCTCCCTTTTCTAGTTTTTTTAGTTCTGGATCGCCTAACATTTGTACTTCTTTCTGCAAGATATATTGTGTAATGGATATAAAAGTCTAGCTTTTCTAAAATCCATCGTTAGAATAGTACACGAAAATGAGTTTAGAATGGATTCATACCCTGGTTTCATGATTCACGAACTGCTTGAAATCTTCATCCTTTCCTAAAAGAGCTTTGCTAATAAGGTGATCAAAGTATACACACCAGGTAGGTGTGAATTCGGCCTTAGCCGTCTCTGCCAACCACGTAAGTTTCAGAGTTTTTTTATAATCTTTATCTTCCAGATTAGGCTGAGCTTCCACCTTCGTGATTTGACCATTTTGCCTAGGAAAAAGTATGCCTTAAAAAATACTGATTAACTAAATGTCAAATATTTACCTGTGAATTTTCTTTATGCGTAAGTTTCCCCAGTTGATAAACGTAGCATTCTCAGCTTCTTTCAAGCAGTCAGCATCCACCCTATCTATGAGAATCTTAGGTCCCACCCACACTTCTTTGTTGCCGACCTCGGCGTTTTTAGGGTGTTTTGGCACGGAAGTACACTCTTCTTTCACGCCCTCTACAAAAACTGGGACTGGATCTTTGCAATCCAAGGATGTGTACCTGGGTGCAATGGGATCAATAACCTTTTTATTAAAGGCCCAAATCTTATCCCATTCCATGAATACCACTGATCTGCTCGAGCCTTGGGCAATTATAAATTCTTTTAGGCCCTGAACGGTCATTCCTCTTCTCAGTACACCCCTGACAGTTGGCATTCTAGGATCATCCCTAAAGGTATTCAGAAAAATAATTATACACATATAGCAGAAATATGTACATCAATATATACTAACCATCCATCTACAAGGCCTTCATTTACAAACCACGTCAGTTTTCTCTTACTTAGCACTGTATTTGTCATTGATAATCTACTGTACTCCCATATGTAAGGCTTCCTTAGTCCTAGAGCATCAATGAACCAATAAAATTGTGGATCCCTATCATGATATTCCATTGTTCTCAAAGTATGCGTCACGCCTTCTATCGAATCGACTATTGGACAGGCGAAGTCATAGGTGGGATAAACTCTAAAAATATTATGTTCTCAGTATAGTGGAATACATATTACGAATAATAAAGTTTGACAGAAATACGATTACTTGTATTTATCTCCTGTTCTTGGATGTGGTTCATTTTTACATCTGTATATTGTTGGATCCCTCAAGCATCCGTTTGGAGACTGCATGTCTATCTTTGCTCTGATACAACATTGCTGACCCTTTTCACTGCCCCTTCTCATTTCTTCCCACATTGCCAAATTCTTTTCCACAGCTAGAATAGGGATGTGAATCAAAAGTTCTGGTCTCGCATAATATTAATATTTTCTTAATCTTTATGGCACTATTCTCACCAAAAGCAAATTAATTGACGGCAACCAGACTTCAATTCAATCTTGACTTCATTTGCATTGGTTTTGCATTCTCATCGAAGCATCTTAAGATATCTTAATTTGTGGTGGCAGATAAAGCCTCCGAATGTATGGATACTTACTAATGAGATGGGATATAAATATGATTTTTGGTTCTGAAACGCACTATTTGAAAAAAATCGTATGTTACGTATTTTCCAAAAAAGATCTAGTATGATGAATCAGCCAATATTATTTTATTAAGTAAAAAAATTACTAATACATAACGGACCTCGGTTGGCCGCGTGGGTCAGAGTGTCGTGCTACTGATCAGCCGGTCGGCCGGGCCGCGAGTTCGAATCTCGCCTTCGCCATGGATGTTGTGTGTTTGTTTTAGGCAGCAGCGGTGGCCGCAGTAGTAGACCCTTCGGTCTCCTGATCAGCCGCCGTGCGCTGTGCGGGTTCGAGTCCCGTCCCAGGAGAAATGTTCTCTTGGCCATGGATGTTGTGATTGTCCGTAGGTGGTAGATGGTCTCTGACTGTCGAACGCGGAGGTACCACCCGGCGGTTCTCGTAGGCGGAGCCAGAATGTGTGCATGTTGCATGCACACGTGTTCCCTCGCCAGAGTCCGTGTGGCGTCCCCCCTTTCCCATGTATCCCCCATAGCCCCACGGTACCCAATGGGTGCTTAGGCCTTAGGCCTTCGTGGTAGTTGGAGTATAAAAAAAAAAAAAAAAAAAAAAATATATGTACACTGAAAGATCTGTGGAAAGTAACAACTTCTACAATATTAATCACTTGAGGGTATAAGATAACACAATAAAGAAGTACTTTTATCTGATCATCAATTGATTTTTGAGGATATGATCAAATGTTAGATGAAATGACACAGATGACATTTTTCATCAACTAGTGGTCAACTGCAAACTGACTAGTGATGGCACTACCTGCAATTGTTGTCATGTTGCTGTCTCTTTGGAGAGAATGTTTGTATTTGAACATATGAGCAGAGCCGTACTGTCGTTATGTAGTTGCTTTTGGCGAGAATGGTCCCAAACACTTACTATTGCTTCGATTTGCAGACTCAACCTTCTGCTCTCGCTGTGTTTTCATCAACTCTGCTTCTGTGTCATCAGCATAAGCTTTTCCCTCCTTAAGCATTTTTTCACAATACTTCAGCATCAAATCGAAGTACTGCGAGGTGTGTGTAAACATGTCCGGTTTGATTTCCAACATGGCCACATCTTCTAAGATCACTTGTTCAAAATGAACGTTTTCCTTGGCTGGATTTGTATCATCGAATCTCATTATCAGCTTGCCTTGGAAGGCTTCTTGGTAATACTGATTGAGGAGGGCAGCTTTTGCATGACCAATGTGCAAGTATCTGCATAAATGGAAATAGAAAACTCTAGCAATTTGTGCTAAACAGAAACAGATCTCAATATTCGCCACAAACCAGATGCACATTTCATTTTGTATTGCAAAATTTAGTGAATTTCAACTTGACAATTCTCTTTTGACACTAAACTAAATTAATTTGTCATCTAAAAGCTAATCAACCAAGTGTGATGAATAATAGAATGATATGAATTAGCTAGGAACATATTATTTTTCCAAAAATGGATACATCACAAACTTGTTTGATAAGCCTTAACAGTCATCAGAATTTGGATCATGTTATTCTAATGCATTTGAAAATTTAGCATAAAAGCCAAGTTCTGTTAAATGCAAGTTAGGTTTGGTTTTCAGCACTGCTTTTTTTTTCAAAATGACAGTATTTAGTGCCAACTTTGTCAACCAATTATCATCAATACAAAGAATATCTGAATCCTACCAAATTGGGATAAAATATTCCTGGAAGGTACCCATTTATACAATTAAGAGCCTACTTATCAAACTGACAATCTTTGATAATTTGATGATGAGGAAAATAATAACTTTTCAGTTAACTATCTTATCTCATACCCAGATGCTTCAGGGGGGAATCTAACAACCACCTTCCCCATCTCAGCTCCTGGCAAGTCAATAAACTTTCCTTCCTGTTGCCTACTTCCTACTTTAGCAGCTGGTTTAGCTCTTGACTCCATTGATCTGTCTGCAGATCTTCTACCTCTAGTTCTATCTGGAGGCGCCAATGCTGCTTTGACTTCAGGAGTCAATGAGTTTAAAACATTTTTTACTGATTCTTGAGATTTTATGAAGGAATACCATCTAAGCACATTCTTTTGAGCTGATTTATTTGAGATAAGTGTTTCCCATTGTTGGTTCACTATTTAAAAAATAAAGACCATTAATAATTGAAGACACAAGTGGATAAAGTTGTCATATAACATTTTTCTAAGATTTGCTTTTTTGCATTAAATTAACGTTAAGGAGTGATTCTTACATTCTGTGGTTATTTTGTTGCAAAAAGAAGATAGTAAACTAATTATTTAAAATATAAAGTAAAAAGTCCTAATAAAAAATGTTTAAAGTCAATTTTCTCCATGCAATGATTTTGTTACATCACACCTTTACTCACTTGTGTGTTCAATTATGATCAAGAACATATACTTGAGTGAAACTGACTTACCATTCAATGCGGCAAATACTATAAAATCTGCTATAGTTAGAGACTTTCCAACAAGATATGTGACAGGAGCCAGAGCTTTATTCAACAATTCAACAGATTTTGCAAATTCATTCCTTGTATTCAAAGGCCCTAAGGCAAAAGTGAGCCAGTGATCTACTTCTGTGGTTTCAACAGCTGTTGTTCCATAAAGATTGGGGCAGTGCAGCTTTGCCAGAGCTCTAGCCAAGTCATTACTAGTGCGGCAATTGATATTTCCTACAACGGTTTCTTCGCCCCAAGTGACTTCAACCGGGATCTTCAGAGAAGTCTTCAAGTGTTCAGCTACTAATAACCCCCCTGTGGGTGAATGTTATAGTTGGATTTCTGGAGATGATTTTTAAATGAATGCTTACCTAAGGGTGGGTTATTCTTATTGCAAGTTAACTTCATTGTAAACTCAGTCCTTTTAAGTTAAAAAATGTGTAGAAATAAGAGAAGTATTTTTAAATTGCCAGCACCACACCATTCACGTTCACGAATGTCATCTGAGGATCTGAGTATTGTTAGGTTAAGTGTCACTGTCGACATATGTCACTTTGCTGTCACTTTTTTCTGGTTTGCAAATGTCTAACTCCGGGTAATACGAGCTAACCCTGAATTATGTTTTTACGTATTAAAAAACATTTTCCTTATTATCTTCAGCGCACTCAAGGTCTTATTCAAAAATTCATATAAGGATGAAAGGAAATCGCCCGAGGAAAGATAACATGGCCACACAAGACAACAAACTATTGAAATATACTTTACTAGACTCTATAAAACTAGCCGTAGCGAACTTTTTCTCTAAATTACACACCGCTTGAAAAATGTAAATGAAGATTGGAAAGCTGTAGCTCTGACGTACTAAATAACTCCTTCATTACCTCGGGATAGACATACAATCTTGTCACCTAAATCAAATCCAAGCGAATAACCAAAATTTCTGTGTTATGTGCCGCGGTTATAATATGGTTCAAGATGACACACGGGTTGATGACGTCAGTTACTCGAATCGCTTGAACGCGTTGGTTTTAACCGCGGTTTTGTTGCAAGTTGTTTATTTTAGAAAAGCGCGTATATAATCTCTGATTATTTTTATTATCACTTAATAATCGGTGCTTTTTCGTCTACAACTGTATATGGAAAGTTTAAATAAGAAACCTTTCTTAATATTCATGGGAGAAATGTTTTTTCAGATTTTTTTTTAATGATGGAACCATGGCTTTGTAGCTGTGATAACTTTCAATTCTCTAAATTTTTCCGCATGTCAAAGAAAACATTTATTGATTCAGCAGAAATGATGAAAAAAGAAATTAGCAAAACCGTATACAGGTGGATATCATCTAGTGAGTTTATATGGCCATATTTTAATATCCTTGTGCTATATGGCTACAAATGATACTTTGTTAAGCATAGGAACTACATTTAAAGTGTCCCCAACAACCGTAATGAGTATAACTAATAAGGTGCTCCACTTTATGGTAAAACTGAAGTCAGCCTGTATCATTTTTCTCAAAAATGAAGCTGAAGTACAATAACAATAATCAAATTCAAGCGGATAACCAAATTGAAATGGTATTTACCATTTTGGATTGGTATTTACCGATCCGTTCAAGCGAGTGTGGTTATCAGTTTGGTTATAAGATCCGTGACGTCACGAATCAGCTGTTATATGTCATAGTTATCACCGCAAAATTGTGGTATTTACCCAACTCCAGAGTAGTTTTATATTTCTGGTTATTATTTGACATGTGACAAGTTAGAATTTTGCCGGGTATTGGATATTTTTATTGTACTTCAGCTCCATTTTTGGGAAACTTGATACAGGCTGACTTCAGTTTTAGCATAAGAGAGCACCTTATTATTTATAATCAACACTGTTGTTGGGGACACTTTAAATCTAGTTCCTACACTTAAAAAAGTATCCTGTATAGCCATATACCACAAGAATATTAAAATATGGCCGTATAAACTCACTGGATGATGTCCACCTGTATACGGTTTTGTTAATATCTTTTTTTCATCGCTTTTTCATCATTTCTGCTAAATCAATAAATATTTTCTTTGACGTGCGGAAAAGTTTAGAGAATTGAAAGTTATCATAGCTACAAAAAACATTCCTCCCATTAATATTATGAAAGTTTTATTTTTTTCAACTTTCCATACCCCGTTGTAGACGAAAAAGCACCGATTATTAAGTGATAATAAAAATAATCAGAAATTATATACGGGCTTTTCTAAAATAAACAACTTGCAACAAACCGCGGTTAAAACCAACGCGTTCAAGCGATTCGAGTAACTGACGTCACCATCCCGTGTGTCATCTTGAACCATATTATAACCGCTGTACATAATACGGAAATTTTGGTTATCCGCTTGGATTTGATTAATATCCAATACCCGGCAAAATTCTAACTTGTCACATTTCAAATAATAACCAGAAATATAAAACTACTCTTGAGTTGGGTAAATACCACAATTTTGCGGTGATAACTATGACATATAACAGCTGATTCGTGACGTCACGGATCTTATAACCAAACTGATAACTACACTCGCTTGAACGGATTGGTAAATACCAACCCAAAATGGTAAATACCATTTCCATTTGGTTGTCCGCTTGAATTTGATTCTAGATTGCGGCTTTCAAGCTTGTCGGACAATTTTGCTACCTCTGCTATTTTGCTAGAATGTTATAAAACAATTAAAAAAAACAATGTTTTATTATATAAATATATTTATTAACTTTTGATCAAAAATAACATGATCATTAATAGGAAAAGTACGATTTTCATCTTACTCTATTATTTATTAGTATCCGTCTCATAAGCAGAAATATTAGGTATTCATTTTGAGGAAGCTAGAAATGGACAGCTGAAGGATTTGCACTTGAATCCAACTTATAACTCGTCGATCATGTGGAATTACATTGTGGACGCATTATATATCCCTACTCTTGTCGGACATTTGGTTCCCACGTATCCTCCAACAACCGAGGTAAGGCATTTTAGTTTCTAAATATGGGGCTGTGATTCCAGGTTGGAAAACTCCAAAGAATCAACGCTTTTTGCACAATATTTAGTAAACATGGTGACTCGATGTTTACGTTGACCGGTAGCCGTCGCGCGAAGTGGGAGCTGGAAAGGGGCGTGGCTGTACTACCCGGCCGTACCGTATCGCCCCAGCGAGGTACAGCACTCACACGCTTCAGTCTCTCGGCAACCGTCGGCACAGCGGAATGTCTACGAGTTCACAGCTCCGTGCAGAGGTCTATTCGGTTTAATTTTTTCAGTAGTGGTGTTCACGATAGAGTTCTCGATTGTGTCTCAGTGGTGCTTTAGTGCTATGACGTGGGTATCAAGTGTCTTCAAAGTGGAAATTAGGTCTACTTCCAACTCTTCTGAGGGAAACAGGATACATGTGCAGAAAACTAGGTGAGCCTTGTACACTCATCCACTTGCGTGTTAGGGTTGACATCCTATGTGCACTAATCTAACGTTATTGTAAGTATTCTTCTGTACTTACATTCATTTCTGAAAAATCTCAAAAATATTAGCAAAGTCGTTCGTTGAGCTGGCAACGCCGGAATCCAGGTGGCAAGAATGAAAAGTTTATGTCAAAATGGATGTCTATCCCGGGGTAACGATAGAGTTATTTAGAACGTCAATGCCCCAATTTTCATTTGCATTTTTTTAAATGTTGTGCAACGATTTCGTCAAAAATTTAGCTACGGATAGTCTTCTAGAGTCTAGTAGAATACATTTCAACAGTTGTCTTGCGTGTCCAGGTTATCTTTAGTCGGACCAAGGAAATAAAATATCAGACTTGAAAAATGCCGCCTTATTCACATTCTAGAGTGAAATCTGAAATTGGTACTCTTAAAAGTGCTTGCTGAAATTTCGGTGCGAACACGCTCGTTTGATTGTGTTACAAATATTTAACATGACGATTTCTTTGATCAAAACTCGTAACCACAGCATGAGGCTAAAGAGCTAATGAAGCGAATAATGGGAATGAAAAGACCGTGTGAATTTTGAAATTTGATTTAGTTGAAGATCCATTCGTTTCATTTCAGATATGTTGGCAAGTGGAAGCATAAAACCAGTCCCAGACCTTGAGTAGCTGTCGCTTGTCCCCGCGATCTTATCAAACTCGGTAGTAGTATCTAACGCAATAGTACATTTCGAATGAAGTAGGAAATTATGGTATTAGTCTATTCTTGATTCATGAAAGAACAGAAATTACGTCCAAATCATGTCGCTACTTCTGCTTCTAATAACAAATTGCAATCGGCATCCTGGCATTGTAACTTGAAGGCTTCTTTGCTCATACTACTACTCAGTTAGATATTATCCTATTCGTCTACAATGGTATTAGCTGTCAATATGAACTCTTTTTACCAGAACTTAGATGTTATAACTTGACTCGTCTTATTTGGTCTTAGATGTTTGAAATGACATATCTATTGGCTCGTTCTATACGAAATTAGATGTTCATTATGACATAAGAATTGGCTCGTCTTATCTGAAAATAGAAATTATTTGCTGCTGTGCTTATACGCTTTCACATGGATCCGGTATTTTTTAACTTCCTCTGTCATATCTGTCAATGTTAATGTAACCAACAACTGTCATTTTATTTTAATGTTTTGATTTTGTTTGGACGGATTTCAGGAAATTCATAATTTTAAGCCAAAAAAGTTGTGTTTTACTGGTTTTAAATCACATGAACCTTATTGCTGAACTTCATTTAACCATTCGCGGCGCTTTAGATTCTTTAATAATTATCTTCTATGAACTTCCGTGCAACAAGTTAACCTGAGACGTGTTTCGCCTGCGAATCGGTTACAATCATAATCGTGCAACAAATGGGTGATAATTCACGGCGTCCAGCACCGAACACACACTGAATAAGGTAAGTCTCTTTATTTATATCTTTGGGTAGAAAAATACAATATCACAATGAGCTATCGCCATCCTCTCACATCTAGGATGCGTCCCATGGTGGATGACAGTCTCTGGATACATTCCAGAAGTCTTCCAAGTTATTATACACCTTCTGTTTGCGGTCGTTGTAATTCAGCGCCTCGCAAATCCTGCAGTAATGCACAGACTCTGTCTTAAAGTATGCATGTTCATTTAGGATTTCGAAAGTTTTTCTCCACTCAAAATACTTTCTGAAGTCCTCAGTTTCGTTCAAGTGTAAAATGTATTGGGCTAACACTGCAGGGCTGGCAAATTCTTCTATGTTGATATAGGACCTTAAGAAGAAAAATACTTTTTTAAAGACATCAATTATCAATGTTTTCTTCAAGACTCTAATGCAAAGAACTACTTAGTTATTCTCATAAAAGTAAGGAAGAAAAAACTCCTTGTATATGCTCTGGAAGAGTAGATGGCATATTTTCTGTCTCTATTGCTTATCTTATAAGATACCAACTTTATTTCTTCAATTTTAGAATTTAGGATTTTAAACAATGCATAAACAGGAAGATAATTCAATTTAGGTTAATACTGGTATAGGTTTTTGCATTGGAGTCCTCAAATGTTTGAGAGGAGTAAGTGTATCACATAATAGAAAATAGGTGAGCATACCAAAAAATTATTCAAATATAAGAGGAGTGATATAAAATATAATACTGTAATTTTTTATTTACCCTGGTGGTAGAAGCATTTGATAGTTTGCGGGACTTGCTCCCATCACAATTGGTATGGAGTTTTTATGGTAGGCATTCCACCAGAGTTTCTCGGTAATGTAATCTTCACAGTTGGAGTTTTCAAATGATAGATAAAATAGATAGCGACCTATTTCTGGGCAGTCTGAATGAAAATGTCCAGGACATCTGAAAGGAAAGAAAAATTACACATTACTCAGTGCTAATATGATCCTCAAAATTCAAAAAAAAAATATCTATATATTTGTATCATGAATTGACTCATCTTAGACATTCATCAATGTATTTGTTGATGATGACCTTTATAACTCACACTTTCTTTCCACAGTTTCCATAGACATCAACTGCTATGTGTTTCTGTAGTTCCCTCACATACTGCCACCTGTGGTTTTGACCACCACAATTTGAACCCAGAATGGTGATCAAAACATCTCTTCTTTTATTCAATATGAGGTTCTCATCATTTAAATACTTCTTCACAACTGTTCTTCCATAAGGAACTGGAATGTCAGAGTCCTTTCTAAAATAAATGATAAAGTTTATATTATTATATTAATGTTAAAAACATAAAAACTACTGTTAATTTTCATTATATGGTCAAATTTGAACATCGCTTGCACTGGCATTTAGCAATATTGTATAAACTTCATTTACTTTCCAGAAAAAAGCTAGAAATCATTGGAAACTATTCATAAATTACCACAGTTATGCATATTTGCAAAACTTATCTCAAAAGTTCTGAAACCCTCTCTATCCTTGAGCTAACACACAGGAAATTTATAGCAAACCTATTAGATGCAATTTTCATAATAATGCTCAATAATATTAATTTATCATATACGATCGAGCGGTACACATCATCTACTTTACGAATATCTTTTCTAGATGGTGTGCCACACTTTTCATCTCACGAGCTTCTTCGCCCTTGGGCGACAAAGTAACTTTGGCCTGCCATCCTTAAATTGACCTATCCTCAAGAGAGCATATTTATTTGTTACTAGGCACTACTGCCACTGATAACAGTACAGTTTGTTTATTTAATTTTATGTCAAAAAACCAGTAGTAGTTTTGGTGGTGGTGGGGAGGTGAAGCCCGGTAAGTAGACCACCTTTAGGCCTTTTTATCGATCCTGAGTGTACCAACACTCTACTCTCCACATGCTGGTCCACTGATCTGCCAAACCTTTCTGATCTAAGTTCAGGATATCTGTGTCAGGAAACCAAAGTAGGATAACTTTGGATCCGGTTAAACTCTGAAGAGCAGTAGTGCATAGCTTGATTAGAGGTGAGCTTCTCCTCGGAAATGTCACTGCCTTCAGAGATATACTGAATTCACTTATTTTATAGAAGATGTGTATCTCTGGCGTAATAAGCGTTTCATTCAGTTGTCGTGCTAAAGGCCGCAGCGCTTCGTACCCTGTGCTCTAATATTTCACGGCTTGGGCCATAAACGTCCACTGTACGCCTTAGATAGATGCAAATCTGACTATTAATATCGCACAAAGAGGGTCAAGATAACTATTCTGTCATGGCTTGACCAATATCAAGAAAGCTCCATCCTTTGATATATGCATTTTATCATGATAGTATCCTAGCTCCAAAATTTGATTAAAAGCTGATTTATAAGAAAAATATCATTCGATTTTCTTAACAACTTTAAAAGGGTACTCACCTATAGGACATTGACCAGTTGAAAACTCCATTAAAGTCTTTCAATTTAACTTTACCACCCGCCAGAAAGGTATGATGAGGACTTTCATCTGTTAAAAAAGTCCATATTTGCTCTGGGTTTCTGCGCATTGTCGGTAAGTCCTTTGTGCCTTTCATTCTATGCAAATGGAAGAGAACTAGATCTGCAGTCTTAAAGTCTGCAGCGGAATTTGTTATATCACAGTTACGCACTGAGCAATGCTGGAATGGATCAGAGCTGAAAGAGAACAGAAAATGACAACAAGGAAATTTTGCAGAAAGTAACTCTTGTGAAAAAATTTAGTTTTGATTCAGATTTTGGAGCCACTGATGGGAATTCTGTTAAAAAGAATATTAAAACGCTTTTGAAATAAAAATTGCAAATATTCTGAAAAAATGTTTTTCAAAATTAAACTTTTTATCCTGCATTTTTAATGCGTTGATGTAGAATTGGTTCAGAATCCTGAATAAACCACGCGTAACAGTCAACAACTTTTCGCGATTTATTACAAACTTGACTTGATATTAAATGTGATAGATATAAGTAATTTAAAATTTAGTATGGCTAGAAGTAGGATTTTCGTAAAATCTGGTTATTGAAGACAGATCTTGTGTATTTTGAAGTTCAGAGTGTATCATGATTATGATTTTTTAACTTCTAACACTTATAGCGCCGCTTGTTGATGATATCACATTTTCTTCAACATGAAAATATCGGTTTCGAATTTTAGATTATGAAGTCACATGTCTAATTTGGAAAACAAAACGTTTCACGATTTTCAAAAGTTATGAATTACGAATTTAAGCAAAAAATGAAATTGTTATACATATTTGTCTTTTAACAATATTCAGTTACTCACTTGGGAAAATGTTTTATATGTCTATTCTCCATAGTAGCACCGTATTTCCAGACCAAGATCTGGTATCTCTTTGGGGAATTGGTAACTTCAGGTGGTTCATCACCCAAATACAAAATTCTACCTAACCTTGAAAGATGATCCTGAAAATTGAAAAAAAGTTGATATAATTATTTTTCAGTCCTAATTTTATATCAGGGAAGGGAAGCGTAAAAACTGGTCGTACAATATTATCGACTTGAAGAAAAGTTTTGGCATTAAATATATTCTAAATATTAATTTTATTTTGGGGAGTCTTAGCAGTATAATTTATTTTTAAATTATAGGCTTTTTCTGTTGATTTTCAAATTGAAAATAAACTTACAGAAATATTTCTCCTCAGATTCAACCACTTTCTCACGTATTCGTCCTCTGTCAAATTGTGTGCGGCATTCTCTAAAACTATGCGTTCCGTTATTTCTGGAGAGAGGAACGGGTCCTTTTGATATCGCGATTGAATGTAAAGACATACTAGTAAAAATAAAATCACAGCTAGAATGAGGAACGATTTCTTTTGGATGAAGTAGTGGGATCTTCTCATAATTGCGAACACATCACCTGCAAAGAAAGTTTAATATTTAAAAAAATGTATTAAAGGCAGTACAATAGAGGTATTATTACCAACTTCTTACTTTTTAAACTCGCCACATTAAAATTTGAAATTTCTCAGGTAAAATGCCGCAAATTCGTAATGAATAATTGGAATATGACAAGAAGTAAATGAGATTAAACTTTTCAAGGTCACCCTTAAAATTAACAGGTGTACTACCGCGTATAGAATCGTGACACAAACGGGAAGCCGAAAACAAAGGTTGCTAGGTGACCCCTAAATACATAATATCGATTCAGTACGCTTTAATGCGTTCAGAATATTATCATTTAGATCTGAGGTAATACTGTGCGCAAGCTTCTAAAGAGGATGGGTGTGATTTTATATAATTTGAATGAATTATTATTTAACGTATTACATACAATACATATTTGTTGTCTAGGCCTAGACTGTATAGGTACAATATTTTATAGTAATATTTCGCCCGACACAGGGGATACCTATAACGTGAACTCACAATATGTGGAACCCCGCTAGTACAAATAAATCTATATATGTTTCGAAATATACTATTATCACCTCAAGTACCTTCGATATGTGAGTTTGAGTGATACCTCGTGAGTTCACGCTAATGTGGATTTTCGGTTTCGACATTTTTTGATTGTTTTTGAAAAAAGCTTGCCAATTTACGTTCAGCTAGAAGTCGTGTCAGAAACTAAAATTGGATTTGGATAGTATAAAATCTGAATTTTTCAATCATCAAAAATTACCTTATTACACGCTGTGGTATTAGGCTGATATTTTAATTACCGGCTATGGAAACTTCATAAATAAAACTGTCGTGTTCCGATGACACTGCCTTGGAATAAAAAAAATGCCGCATATCTTTATGGCATTTTTATTGCCAATACTTAGCGTACGTGTACACAACCAATTTGATGCCTATATTCACAAAAAAAATTTGATTTAAGACATGTGAACCTAGACACTTCTAAATCACTACTACTAGGTTTTTACCAACTTTAGCAGTAATCCTACCTTATATATAAATCCACTTGAGTGCAACAATTCTTTTCACGGTAAATTGAAAAATAGACTGGAATAACAAAGGAAATTATTTTAGGTTTATTCAAGGATTAAGGCGGTTTTACTATGGTAAATAAAAAGATAATGGTCTTAAAATGATCTTGTAGATATACTGCCAAAACTTAAAATCTGTTTAGCATTTAATGCTTGTGTTAAATAACCTAATAAGATTAATTAATATTAAAAGTTTATTTTTCAATCAACTTTAAAACTATTCAGTTTTAGGAGGAACTTGTGAGCTGTTCGATTTTGTTACGTTCTTGTTTGTGACTTTGTAGTTTTTAAGCAGTTTCAAGTAATAAAACCCATTTTTAAATCCACTTGATCTTATGACTATCGTGGTAGTAAATATGCATTAAATCTATTTATTTAGCTTTTAAAACTGCTTTTGTAAATGTGGGCCATATTAAAATGGAACGCTCTTAACTTTCGGTTTATATTATATTTTGGTTATCGTAAAGACTAACTATACATCTTATCAGAAATTAAAATTAGTTTTCCTTGAATTGATGTTTTTCACGATTATAAAATTTGTGTAATTTTTTTTTTTTGTTAACATTTATTGATAAAGTCGGGCGCCCAATTATTTTTCTACATTCCGAAGTCCGACTACTTTTTATTATTTTATAGACTTTGTATCGCTAATAATTCGAAAAAAGTCAAGTTTAGACAAAAACTATTCAGGACTGGGTGGAATGAATGGGTATTTTTTTTAAATTGAAAGTTTTGCATATTTGCTATGTAGGTGGAGTCAATTTTTTCATTTTTCTCAATGTTTGCCTATTTAATCCATTTTTCGATTTTTTTCGAATTATCAATACATGGTGGTCAAAAACGCAAAATGTATTTTTTTGCACTGTCGGATCTCATTTTCTTGAGATTTTTTTAATATATGGATGTTGCCAGTTTGTTTAAGTGGTTTCTGCGATATAGCCGTTTATTTAAAAAAATGGACATTTCTCTATTTTTTTAAACAAATATCTATAACGCAGAAACCGTTTGTGCAAACTGACAACGACCTTATATTAAAAAAAGCTAATTCCCGATAGTGCAAAAATATATTATTGTATTGCGAAAAAATACATATTGTGTTTTTGACCACCCTGTATTATTGATCATAAAAAAATCGAAAAGTGGATAAATTAGGCTAAAACTGAGGTGAAACGAAAAAATTTTGAGACAATATTCACGACTCCATCTGCCAACATAGCAGATATGCTGACGGTAAAATTTTGTTTTTTATATAAATATCCCATTAGTTCAACAACTGATAACCAAAACCAATAAGATTGTTTTACCAATCTTGTTCTTTTAAAAGAGACTATCCGAAAACTTTTTGTATATTCGGAATTCTCCAAAAAAGCCTAAAGAAGCTTTATTCGTAATCAAACATTTTTTTTAGTTGTTTAAAAAAATGTTCAGGCAAAATTGCACCGGTTATCGCCTCTTGATTCATGCATTTCGATTTTTACTTGAATGCGAGATTTTCGACTGGCATATGCCGTAAGTTTTGAAATTTTGAAAAGTTTATGAAATATTGAGAGCTTACAATATTCCAAGTGGAAAAAGATTAACAGTTGCATAGCACTATCGAATTTTTTATTTTTAACCTGTGTGTGAACTACATAGCACTATATCTTTACTTTATGGTCATCAATCTGACTTACATGAGTATAAATAAGGGAAGAATACATCTTTGAAGACACTATACACGTACACAGTAGAAATAGAAGAAAATATGTTACATAGTTGCTACTCAGCTATAGCAATTTGCAACTCGACATTCCACACCAAATGCAACTAAAAACCGAATGACATACTCAACGTCCATTATCAGCGAATGCTCGCTTGATTATGATTTTTTAGCCAATGTTTCAATGTTTGCCCGCGCTCCGCACACTGTCCGCCGCACACAGGAGCGGATACAGAGAGAAATGTTATAGGGGAACAAGGAAAATGAAATGCTTGGATTTATTATTATTTGTTGGTGAGAAATAGTTTTATTGAAAATGTTAATATACAGCGGCGCAGGCAGCCTTTCAGTCTTAGAATTTGAAAGAAAAAATTGTAACTAACCGTTTTATACAGGAATTATATTTTTGAGGGTATCAGGAAAAGCCCCCTTCGTCGAGAGATACAAACATTTTTTCTGGCTAACTTTTTTTAATAAACCTCAAAATTGGAAAAACTACTTTTTCGCATACATACAGTAATGAACAGAAGTAAGTATATAGACATATTAATATTGTGATGTATTTCTTTTTTAACTTGTTTTATTAATACACCAACATATATACATAATTCGTCAAAGCATGATACTCACTTTATACATAAATAAATTCATTAGACTCCCTTCAATAAAAAATTAATTGAAAAAAACTGGAACTATGAAGGACAAAAATATATAGACAAAGCAAAACAATTATAGAAAAAAGAAGCAAAGTTCATTGAATTATAGAGAACCAACCATGTTTGTGTTAATATTTTGTAGCATAACCATTATTATCAATCACCGCCTGGCATCGTCTCGGCATAGATTGTAGAAGTTTCTTGATATAAGATTCATCAATCTGTCTCCACTTTTGCTGTAAAGCGGCAAAAAGTTCATCCTTGTTTGAATAATTTTTATCTCGTATTCCCATAGGTTTTAAATGGGGTTCATATCGGGTGACTGTGAAGGCCATTTGAGAACTGGTATTTTTTCATCCAGAAAGAATTTCTTTGCGAGATTTGAAGTGTGCTTCGGGTCATTATCTTGCTGGAAGATTGATCTTAAGGGCATATTGTCTTTCATATAGGGTAACATGACATGCTTTAGTATGACTATTATACAAATTTATCCATAATGCCATCGATTCTATGTAAAGGGCCCATCGCAAACCCCGAAAAGCACCCCCAAACGATAACAGACCCGCCTCTATGTTTGACAGAGGGCAAAGTGTACTTTGGGCTCAATCTTTGTCCACTAGGACGTCTAACGTAATGAACACCATCTGATCCAAACATATTGAACTTGGATTAGTCACTGAAACATACCCTCTTCAAGTCACAGATGCTCCAATCAAGATGCAACCGTGCAAATTGTAATCGTCTTATGGTTTTTCCTCGAGATTAGCGACTTCTTACTCCGGCGACGTGCAAATAACTTTAAATCATTTAATCTTCTACTTATAGTTCCACTGACAATTCTCGATTTCGGCTTTTATTTGTCTTGGGGTTTTAAACGGATCTTTGGACGAAATTACTTTTATTAATCTAACTGATCTAGCATTTAGTTTTCTAGGCCGACCACTTCTCTTAGAGGCTTCCAAGATACCTTTTTGTTTATATTTGTTCAATATTGCCCAAACTGCTTTACGCTTCAAACTGTACTAAACTAATGTTGAAAAGAATTTGTCTAATAACGCATTTGTTTATGGGGCAATGAAGTATGGATTCGTTTTCTAGGTATTTAGGTAAATATTCATATTTGTCAAATAGTTATGGATTATTGTGGTTAAAAAAATGTTGGGAATATAAAGACCTTCAAAATAAAACCTTATACGGACAATTTGTCGTATCGGTTAATTTGTTATCACAAAAAACGTCAAAAATCGTCGATTTCTACATTTACTTTTTACTGGAAGATCAATAATGATAAATCTGCAATAATAGCCAAAAGCTAAGGCGTTTTTGTTGGTCAGTATACAAAAAAATCACTCAACTATGTTCAACCATTTCTGCAATAAATTGTAACTAATTATTTTTTAGGAAAATGGCTTTTTTTGACGAGCTGACCAGTGATTTCCGATCAATGAAATGGCCTCATGTTGAGCTTATTCTTTTGATAAAGTGTTAATTTAATATCTTATCAAAAGATACTAGTTTTTTTTTCAAATAATCAAGTGAAAGAGCGTCGCCAAGGGTACGTCTATTTTTGCCTTATAAACAAATGAATAAGTCCGTTGTTTTTTGTCATAATTAGGATGTTCACTATCAAAAAGCTGATGAAAAATACACGCTTTGGTGAAAAAAAAACTTTTTTGGGCCCTTGACAGAAATACCATTTTTTCTCAAAGAAGGTTCTTAAGGATCACAATAAAGCCAAGTATAAAAAAGATTAGAAGTTTATTAAAATGCCTGTTCAAAAGTATATACTTAATTTCATATTGCGACTGCATACACCTTACAAAGATGATTCATTCTACAACGAAATGTAAATGACGTTTTGGACTCCTACGTTATGTTTGATTTTCCTATGCAAAATGTATTTGAGTTTTATATTGAACATTTATATTGTTATATAAGTATTTCATGAAATCTGAACATCGTTCGACCTTTGCTGTTGGCTCTACTTTTTTATTGTTTCTCGGTCCTCAAAGAACCAAAAAAGTTCATTGTTTCGTCAAAGTGCGTATTTTTCATTAGCTTTTCAGTGGTGAGCATCTTAATTACGACCGTAAAAACACAACAGGCTTATTCAAATTGTTTGACGTAGATGTACTAATGGCGACGTTGGTATAAGAAAATTCCGTATTTTTTTAATATTATATCAAACTCTCAAGCAAGAGAATGAATCCAATGTCAGAAAAGTCATTTTTCTGAAGACGATTAGTAAGACACAATTAGGAAATTGCAGAAACGGTTCAGCATTTTTTAATGAAATTTTTCATGAAAGTTGAGCACCACAAAAGTTTCAAGTTTTGGCTGTTATTCCAGACTTAGCGTTATGCATTTTCCAGTAAGAAAATGAATTGCTAGTTAAGGTGAATTGGGCGTATAAGGTCTCGCTTTGAAGTTTGAAGGTATTTTCAGCACTATTCATAACCAGTTAAATATACGTGAAAAACTTTTTACAACTTTGACGTTTAATAAAAAAAGTCAGCCAGCAAAATTGTCTTGTAACTCTCGATGTCATATACCCTAATTCCGCTGTGAAACCGCTTATTACGAATTTTTCGGAAACAGGGTCGATGCTTAGATAGTCAGTTTGGTCTTTCATGGGGGTCACTTAGTCACAGTGGCGGATTCAGGAAGCTATCTAG